CAAAGATTCTGTGAACAGGCCGATCATCTGTTGACGAAAATGAATCTCTTGCAGTATACCTGCGCTATTGTGTGACAAATCTGTCTAATTTATCAATGCCTTAAATTAATCACAAACTTTCCATTCATCAATTTCTACACTGTATCGGTGGGCGTATTTCTTATTGCTATGGAAATTTACAATGGTGCTGATATCTTTGCTAATGGAACCGATTAAGTCTATTGGTATAACTCTGATGATTTCACAGTCTCCTATGAAATTTCAATAAGGAAACATTGAAAAGATGATGAATCAGGCAAACAACTCACTTATTATTATTGCGATGTGTCGTTTTAAACTGTACCCAGCTTTTTAAATGCACCGTAGCAAGAAATCTTGTCCTCAGTGTTTGATCAAAACAAAATTTATTGGCTGATCTCTTGATCTTTAAATCGAACAATGGAGTCGAAAAAGGAACAGGTATTCCATTGTTTAATCAATTAGATGCCTGGGAATCTTACCACGAAAAAGCATTATAGGAGCTTTTAAACCTGCATGTTTACGGGGCTGTAGAACTTCCTTGCTATTTATTTACATCCTGTTATTTTGTAAATTTTGAAAAGCAAAGAGTCAAATATGAATTGATCTTTAAAAAAAACAGAAGATAATTATTTGAAGTATTGGAAACAAGAACAATGTAGCATGCATGGTCATGGCCGAAAGAACTAGGGTTAGATACGAAAATTTCCCTTTTCAAGTAAAAGTTTTAAGACGAATTTATTTTCCTTTTATTAACGCTGGTGGGGTTTGAGTTAGAAAGTCGGTCGAGTTATATACCCCTTCTCTATTCTGCTGCTCCATCGGTTGCACCATATCTTCTAATGGATTAGTTAAATTTGATGAATTAAAAGAAATGCATGGTGATGTGTGCAATATACAAGACCATTTCATTGAAACAGATGCAAAATTAGGTGACAATAAGCAATCGATCAATAAACTAGAAGAGGCTTGGCAATATTAGATAATGGATTTCGTTTTTGCTTTGCAAGAACATCAGTAGAGCAGAGAGTTTGGTAAGCATGAGATTGTTTGAAGATTGCAGATAGTAATGGCAACGTTACTGGAGGAAAGGTGTCCCGCTCTTCTAGTCAAGAGCAGATTAAGTTTAAGTCTTCTGTTTCGTATTCTAGAATAGCAAAATTCAGTATCACTCTTCTTCGTCACTTCTAGAAAGAAACTGGTTCAAACCAGTCAGAAAGCTTTAAATATAACCAATAAGAATAGTGGATTACACACTCGATGTCGGCAGTAGCGTGCCAGCTTTTTTCGCGTGGCCCAGCCCCTAATTATACAAGTCAAAAATATAATAGATTACCTTTGTTTCCAGGTTTTTGTCCCTTTTTAGCTGCTTTCTCTCGATTCCTTCCCTTTCCCTTTGCACGGTGGCAATTTTCTTTATCTATGCATTGGATGCCATAACAGCTACCATCAGAAACAAGAACAAAATCACACCAATTGCTAACACAACATTCTTGCAGACAACTTTCTGCGTCCCATCCAGCTAATGACTTGTAGTATCCAAAAGCTAATCCAGCTAGCTTATCCCCTGCGAATCTTGAAATTTGACGGCTGTTCCACAATGATGTGCATGAAATTCATTGAGTACTTTGGCAGTCGCCAACACTTGGACTAAAAAGAGAAATTATGTGGAAAATTTAAAATAAAGTTAGAATCACAAAAACAACATTTTATCTCATATTTGTGGATGAAAAAATAATTTCATTTGGTTTTTGGAGTTATCCCTAAACTATAGAAAAATACGAACAACTTTCATTTTTCGCGGCTTAAGTATGAGAATCGCAAAATCTGAGTTAGAGAGTTGCTAGATCAAGGCAAATTTTAAATGTTAACTAATCTGGAACCACACTTTTTGGAAAATTCCTAGGCCTTAAAACTTACAAATAATTTTCAAACTTTGTTTGGGAGCATGCCTTCTCCTGGAATCACCTTTCTTTGTTAACAAGCGTCACCATTTAAGCGAAAAATTGCCTACAAGTCTTGGAAGATAAAAGAACCGTTCTTATCTGATAGCAAAAAAGGTTAGTAAATTCTAAATAGAAGTCTTAATAGCAAGGTATACAACATCTATTCAGTTAATATTTTCTAAAACGGGTTGGCATAAAAGGCAAGGGTTGAAAAGGGAGAATTACAAAAACACAAAACGAGAACTTGGTTGTATACAATAGTAAGGCTGGCAGGCGTAGTAACAGGAGTTGCCAGCAAGTAGCAGTGAAACTCTGATAAAATGCTATCTTTACTGCTGAAAAATAAGCGAACATCGAATGCTATCCTTTGAGTTACGCGTTTCCGTAGATTAAGTATTGCGAGAAGGCACTGAGAAAGCATTGCTAATCTGCCCATTTACGTGTAAATGGGATAAAGATATCTGAATTGATTCAAAAGGTTATCATTTGTGACAACATGTTTAAAATGTAAAATATTATCAAAATGTGCCTAATGGATTTTACAAAATCAAATCAATTTGAGATTAAAATGTCCGTGCAAAACACAAATGAATCTCATAACTTCAAACTTTCATATAAAATACCTGAATCTTGCAGATATCAGAAGCTTTTCATAGGTAAAATATTTATGCTGCAGTAACTACACTTATCAATACTTAGGAAATGAATCTCTAAGTAAAAAATGGGCGGTTGTTTCACTATGTTTGTTCTGTTTACTACAAAATATAGTGCGCAGGGCTTCCGCAAAAATATATTTTGTAGAACAGCAGAATTCTCTAACTTCAGCATATAAATAACTTCAAAAGCTTTTCTTTAAGAAAACAGTACAAAATCTATAGAGGTTTTTTAAGGAAAAGAATACTACGTAACAGAAACAATGGGACAGCTTTTGATCAATGGTCCGCCAAAAACACGGATCAATGTCAAATACAATTAAACGCATTGCAAACGCTTGTTTTAAACAAAGATTTCCTATCAAAAGGCGGCCTAAATTTGACTAATAGCCTGACCTGTTCGAACAAGCGTGTAAGCACATACACAAAACAAGTTCCTGTTCATATCGTTTGGATTCTTCGTTTTCTTTTAATCATAGTATAACATAATTACGCACCTTGGGTCAACAGTAGTAGCAATTTGAGAAACAAATGCGTTGCAATGGCTTTTCCAGTTTTTCTATTTGATTTTCCATGGTAATACATGCTCTCATGGCGTGTAATCCGTTCATTGAGGAGCGACTATCCCGCGACTTATGATAGGCATGCAACGATTTTCACCGACATGCAAAGACATCTAATAGTTTGCCCCATTTTTGCATTTTTTCAGCAATTATCCATCTTTTCGCAGCACTTTACTATCTTCAAACTACTCCTAAAAACACCAGACTGGAAAGACAAGTGACGTCACGTGAAGCAGGCAGTATAGCATAGCCATATCGTGTGAATGGAGACGCATAAGATCACAGACGGATACGGAACCAGAAGCCGTGCAGAGACGGGGGCCGTTGCGTTGATAATCCTCGCTAAACCAATGCCGAAAGGCCAAAACATGATAAAATAACGGGTATAAAAGATTAAGGTTCGCTTGGATTAATAGTTTAAAATATAAAAGTGGTCAAAATTTGCATTACTTTTTAAGATCTAAAATCAGATCTATTGCATGCATAAATTTAAAACATGTTGTAATACTTATAAACAATAGCTAGGAAGTATTAAAACCAGATCTCGAAATACACAAACTAAAAGCAGTCGTTTGGTGAATAACTCAGTCTCGCCTTCTATGATTGTTCTGCCATTAATAGCTCCTATGAAAATTGAAAAATTTAAAAATAGCATATCATTCTAACTTCCAAACTAATTTTATTTCAAATAACTAATCCAAATGCGAGGCAAGTAATGAGCCTCGGTTCCATTTAAACAGAAATAGCATTTTCGTTTTAGCATAACATAACGTTTTTCTGACAATACAGACTAGTTCTCATTTGTAAATTCAACTTCTTAATGAAGGAATCCTAAAATATTTCCAAATGGCCTGATGCTTATGTGGTACTAAGATCAGTTTTGATATAAAATTAAACTAACAGCTATTTCCTTTCTTGCCAACTATTTTGCTTAAAAATTCATAGTTTTAAAGACTTATTTCTGACATTTCCCACTTTCTATTGTCTGAGAGAAGCATATTTGTCCGCACACAAACAAAAACCTTCACACTACCACATTTTTTCAATTTAAACACCACAAGTTGCATAACAAGGTTGTAAAATCAAAAACACTATGCGCAAGGCTCAAAAAGTGTTTTCCGTGATGCTGACCCCCGGAAATGTACCGTAGACAAAATGATGGTAGGAACTCCAAAAAGCTACATAGATTCCCACATTGAAAACATCCAAAACGAGAAGCGCGCTAGAACCATGTCGACGAAATGAGCTTGCAAAAATAAAAAATAAATTGAAGGCTCTTTGCGGATGGCTATTTACTAATTATAATTGAATCAATAATCCCATTTTTCTATTTTAAACGATTTTCCCCAAAACAATAGAACTGGTGAAAAAGGCAGCAAAAAGTGTTTCTTGCAGGTACACGCTACGGTTGAGTGATTATAAATCAGGTCGTTTCAATTGTTTTCGTTGTGGTACCGAACGTAAGAACGTTTAGAAATCAAGATGACATCTGGAGATTTGATTTAGAATTTCTGGGTGTTTATATAATAAATTAATGGGGGAAAAAATTCAAGGAGGATTTCGTTTTTGGAGGCGTTAGGCTATTGACAAACATCTGTCCAAAATCTTAAACTTCATACTTTCTATAACCAATGTAAAGTTTATATAACTATACAATACAACACAAATTCAATAATAACATCACAAGGAATACTCCTTTGATATCCTAATGTCTGAATATAGCAACCTTTTCTTTTCATATAACAGAAATAATGAATTGAACAATAATAGGAAAACTTGAAAAGATTTTAGCTTTCAAAGTATTTTTAAAGTTTTAAACACATACTAAAGTTTACTGACAAAACTACACTTACAAAAAAAAATTTGTCATGGTATTAGTGAAATCTTCTTTAGGGCGTTTAATGAATAAACTTGTGGGTTAAAACAATATTTAGACTGCTGCTTGACTCTTGACACATACAGGTGGCATCCAAGCATGGAAATGTTTTATCACAATTTTCATTTCAAATAGGGTCAACGATTAAATCTGATGTAGAAGCCTTATCTCGGAACATCCCTGTGTTTTCATTGTTAAAGGAACAAATTACAGGGCTTAAGAGATATGATGAGAGCTTGACTTCAAATATGCTGTCGTGCCAGAAGGCACATCAAGTTCTCTATATAGAAGTGAAAGCAAGATGTTGCCCTGAGAGTTCTCAATTTTCAGATTAGTTTTTTGCCTTATACTGGAATTATTTTAAAAGTGTAAATGCTTTTCATTTGGCTCACTGGTATCTATCTTATTCAATTCAAGCTATCTTAGGTATTGGAGTTGTATCCTTGATCAAGTTCAATAAAGAGTGTTTTTGATTTTAAAAAACTTTCATGAATTGCAATGCTTTGATCAATAGTGTTCTGCGACAGCCCAAGGATTTTGCATCAAACTTCTTGGTTTATTAAAATTTTTCAATTTTTATTCCAAATCCTAGCAAAATCCCTCTTTTCTAACAAGAGATGTCAGCACGATAACAGCGACTAGATAATTAAATGACTAGATAACAGCGAATTGGTGAGCATACACGAATAGCGTTAAAGTTAATAGCGAATACCTATAAAGTTAGAGTTTCACTATATTGGATTGCAAATGGAACGGGGAAGAGCGGAGCAGCTTTTTCTGGAGATTGACATTCAGGGTAGCAGTTACACAACGACCTTCCACTTGCTCGTATGCCTGTATTCCCTCCTCTACATTTCTGGTCCACAGTGCTGTGGCCCCCAATCCCCCTGCTTCCAAAGTCCCTGCTAAAAAAATGCCATTTCCGAAGAACAAGAGGGCGTGGCAAAATAAATGTTTCTTGAGTCATACCTCGGGATCCTGCTTTGGACAGTGTGGCAGTCAGGATTTGTTCTGGATCTGCCCATGTTAGATCAAACATTTTTTCTACCTTTTGAAAAACTCACTCATTTTCAAAACTGAAACTTGACAGGTCTGTACATAATTTCAAAAACATTCCCTGAACTAAGTGCATTCTATGCTTTCTAAATAGCTCCTACTTTACTTCTACTGAGGTAAAATATTTGGACTCAAATGGATACAATATGTGCTCAACTTACCAAAAATTATTTTAATTTTTACTCAAATCAATATAAGGCCTATTCTTGAATATTTTCAGGACGTGAAGCAGATCAACTAAAGCACTGAAAAGGTCCTAACTTTTTTAAATGATTAAAAAAGGCTTTGTTGGATGTAAAACTGATTTTTAAATATGGCAAGGAATGACCACATTTAACAAGTTTGCTAACAAATAATAGTAAAATGCTCTCAAAAAAATTTAATTTTTAAAGTCATGCGGTGGATTTGGAAGGAAAACTTTTGGACTAATTTTTAGGCATACCAACACTGCTTTGTCGTACAAAGGGGCATATAAAAGAAGCAAAATCAATGTTTTAAAAAAAATTAACAACTACTGAAGCGTTGAAAAACTTAATGTAAGACCAATCTCTGGCTACAAAAAGCAACTTACTGGTCAGTGCCAAAAGACATAGTTGAGCATGGCAATTATATTGATTCACTGTGCCTCGAAATGAATCTTAAGTTACCTGCCATTATGCATAAAACCCATAGAAATCTGGCTGTTTTAAGGAGAAGGTTAAATGGGTAAATGTTGTTTTTGATTTTCTGAGTAACATATTATTTTCTTTAAAAACCTTATTTTTGTGACCTTTTAAAGACACTCTCTAGGCAAGTTCAGTTTTAATGGTTCTTAGTGACCAAGATATCATAAAGTGGACAGTAGGGAGACTGGGGTTCATTGAAAACAATTTAAAACAATATATTATTTTATGTAATATGTCACAAAATATGTGGGTAGACTATAGAAGATATTTTGCATCAACTATCAACTCAAACAAGTTCATCTTTGGGTAGACAACACTCAAATAATTGCTTTCTACAACTAAGATGCTTTTAACTAGGTATAATTTTAATTCTTTTTTAGGTAAATCAGAAAAGCGCATAAATGAAAGTTATGTTTAAATCTCAACAGCATATAACAAAAAAAGGGGTACCTAAAGGTCAATTTTTTCTCCACGGCTGTATAGAACATCAAAAACTGTGGTCTCCTTGTAATTTTCAGCTTAGCAAGATAAATATTGAGCAAAAAACCTTTCCAAAAAAGAGAGCATTTTGCAAAATACAATTTAGAGAAAATGTTGTTTAAAAATATACAAAATTATAATGATGCTTTTTCAGTATCTAAAATCCTCCAGGTCTATAAGTTGTTAATTATTTTTGAATGCTGCTTTCTTCCACTGCTTTTCTTACATTCCACCTCCCTCTTCTGAACAAATGAGGCATTTCTTTTCATATCAGTTCTTTGGAAAAGAAGAATTGTGTTTTTCCAGGAGCAATCCCTATCTGAAAACCTGGAGATGGTTTTCAGATAAATCTCTGATAAATCCTTATGACCCCTTCTGGCTCCATTGCTGGGGCTGACCTAGTATAATTGATGTCACAAGTATGATTAGCCAGCCACTTGTCTTTTTCAAGGCTATCAGGAAGAGAAGGCACGCTTGCGCCAGGTACCATCAAACATCACATTAGACCCCAACTTTAACTTTCTTCTAAAGAAGCATTTTTGGTGCATTCTTTTGCTTTTCTCTTTAAATCCGGCTGATTTTTGTCAATGGGAAAAGTTATTTTTGATACACTGACCCTCGATTTTTTTAAAAAGCTCAATTTCGCAAGTTTTTCAGAAGGCATTTTTTCATGGGAAAACTGTAGATTTGAGTCGAAACGTGCAAATTCCTCTAGAATATCGAGTTGCCTTTCAAATAAATCTCGAATGAAGATCCTGTAGTGATTTTGCGAAAAGTTATTTTTGATACTTGGATACGCAGTTTTCGATTAATGTCGGAAAATTGTCAAATTTTACTAAGTCTTTACTAACACATCTTATGAAAATTTCTGTTTCCAAATGCTGAATTCCTCTTAAAAATATTTAAATATGTTGTTTAAACAAAAATAAACTTAATATCTCTTTTAAACTAAAAGTTATTGATGATACTTTGTACAGCGGTTTCCGTGCTAACCGTCAGAGCGAAAAGATACCTTGGAAATTCACCGGGGTTGTGCGACTGCCCAGGGTTCTCTAATGCATATCACTTGATACTTCATCGAAACTGGGTTTAAATGAATTATATACGTCAAGGAATCATTTCACTAGAATGTATAAAATTATAGGAATTTACAAACCTTTCTCAGTATGGAGAACCTCTGTTTGATACAGCCTAATGGCGGCAAATTTGTGGTGCTGTGTCAGCGAATAGAAACGAGGTCAAAAGGTCTTTCGAAATGGCGGACAACAAGCAATGGAAAAGCGTAGTCTTGGAACACCAAATAAAGGAGTTTCGCAACATAACGAACACATCTTCGGATACTGCGAAATTTTTTCTGGAAAAAAGCGGTTTTGTCTTGCAGGTGATACTATTAAAAAATATTTCAAATTGAATTTGACAATAGTAGCTCCCTTGAAAAACGGCAGCACAGCAACGCAGCCAGGTCAGGGAAATTGACAAGGTCATTTAGGTCAAAGCACAGGAAACTAAAGAAATTTTTTTGGATCATAGTTTTTTATCTAGCTAATATTTTGACTTAATAAAATACCTAATAGGCACTATCCTCAGAGGCATACAGCAGGGTGAGTCACAAATGGCACTTCTAGCTACAGACTCAGGTATCCAATTACACTCTAGGTGAAGAGAAGAACAATACCTTGTCCAAGAATGCTCCTTCAAAAGTGGCAAGATCTGGTCTCCAACCCATGACCAATAGACCTTAAGCTCTATGGCCTAAACACTACATTATCAGAGGTCATGGCTCAAAGTTTAAAAGATTTTTGCAAATGTTATTTGTCTCGCAGGTGATACTATTAAAACAGAGTTCGGATTGAATTTGATAATAAAACAACTCCAGGTCAAGAACAAGGTCCTTTAGGTCAAAGTACAGGAAACTAAAGAAAAATTATTGTGGATTATAATTTGCTCTATGGCCTAAACACTACATTATCAGAGGTAATGACTCAAAGTTTAAAAGGCAGCAAAATCAAAGACAATTCCAATAAATGTGTTCCCAGTGCAAGTGTCACAAAATTACAATTTTTGCAAATGTTCTTGAAACTGTCCTTAAAAAATGTTTTTCAGTCTCATAAAATTGGGCCCCTTTTTCTTTTATTGCCAAACATCAGGAGCTAGTAAAATATTTCCTAAAGCTTGAAAAAAATTTATTCAAAAGAGATCTACCTGCAACTGGAAAATTGATTGATCTATAGGCAATTTTTGAAAGTCACATCTTAAACAAATGCTTTTCAGGGGCAAAACATCTAGGGGACATAGCACCTCTCCCACAAGCCAGATGGTGAAGTTCTGAAGGCATTTGTTAGTTTTGACAGGATAACACTCTATTAACCTCTATGTTATTAATTAATGATGCCGCTTTTTCAAAATAGAAATGCTGTAGGAGCTGCAAGTTTTGCAACCACAACCAAGAAGTATTACATTGTGTTTTTGAAATTTTGATTTATATCCAGTAATGAATTAATTTATTTTGAAACTGGTGTTTTTCTGACAGGAAGCCCTCCATGATTACTTTGAAAACGGTGAATCATCAATCAAGGTACAATTTCTTTTATAGTTTCAAAATGAATTTGTTGTTTTGAATTTGATTGTTTCTTTACTTAATACCTTTTAACAGGCTGAACAGAACTGCTGTTGCTTCTATCTAAAAGGTCTATTTATTTCTTCCTTGCCAGCAAATTAATAGCAATATAATTGTTTGGATAGTTCATTAAAGCTTTTGTATATTTTTGCTCCTATATCTTGATATCACATTCAACATTCTTGTGTAACATTACCTGCTTTGTGATGCTTAATCCCTGTGCTTACTGTGGTTATCTGCTCACCCAAAGAGTAACTTACTACCCTTGAAAGGGTTGGCAATCATCATGACCCACCATTTTCTTACCTTCATGAGGATAATTTCTTGATATCAAAGGCTTGAAACAACATTTATTATCAATGAAAATTTTGAGTTAGACATTAATAGATGATGATGCTCTTCTCACCTCTTCTTTGAGTCTAATGCTTTTGAAATTGTCATGCTGTGTCAATCAGAAGCTTTTGCCTGTAGCGATGTAAACATAAGTTGACTACCAAGACTAAGAAAGTGAGTACAGTAAACACCCACCAATAAGTACCAAATTGTCCACCTACCACTTGCAATTTTTGTCCCTGCAGTTCCCTGCAGTTAACTTTGAAAAAATCAATATAGAAGAATGGACGAAACATTAGATTTAGATAAGAAGCACTTTAAGAACCTAAAGAACCTCGTTTCTGTTTATTGCACACTTAACAAGGACCTACCATAAATTTGCGAATGAGCTCCCTATACTCTTTTAGAGGATGGTCATTTGAAATGAAACGCTTTGCTGGTTTGTTTTAAATTATTTTAATTAAAGTATCCTGTAATAGAAAGAAAACTGGATATCGGAAATCAGTTCGATCTAAGCTCTCTTAACAATTGAATGGCTAGTTCTCCACTCAAGAGCATTATCGATGTCCATTTCTTCGTTATAAGATTCTCCTCACCAGCCACTTCATAAGCAATGACAGACATCCAACAAAACAGTCATTCCGGGGAGGGGGCTCTCATTCGAGGATAATGGTTCTCAGACTGAAATAGCACTAAGCAACAAGGTTACATAAGGAATCTAAAATCAACATTACTTTAATCAAGTTTCTCACACAGTGCGAGGACAGACAAAGTGAAATGGCAAGTGCACATCCATCTCCAGAAAGGTAGGCTCTGATTTTTGTAATCCGCAAAGATAAAAAAGAATCTTGCTCCACAAAAACACAAAGTTCATATCAAAACAAGAACATGTTCAGTTTTTTAAAAACTACTTGGGGCTAGATTAATCTTGCTTCTGCTGAATTTGACATTATTAATTCATTTAGTAGCTAAAACAGACTGCTTTATTCAAAGCAATTGGATTTCTAATGATATGCTGTATTCCTTCCAATTCCTTCTACCGTCAGTTTCTAGTTTACACTTAAAGTGGTCTGCTTCCTGATTACCTGTTGCCACGAAATCTCAATAGGACAGTTCCATGTTTTAATCATATCATCTTTGAATCAATGTCGTTTTATTTGGATGCATAACCTGAGTAGAATTGCACGATCTTAGGAAGAAATCAAGGATTCGATTGCGTATATGCATTGAGATTCCAACCTACTGAGTTTAATATTAATAAAATTCTTTGCATAGAACCAACAAATTTACTCTCTTAACATGGAATATTGATGGATTGGACGAAGAGGACTTGTATCTACGAACTTTGAGTATAAGTGAAAAGATCAATACTTTGGAGCCAGATGTCGTTTTCTTGCAAGAGGTAGTTGACAAAACTCTTGAAATTTTGAAGAAGAAATGCAAAAGGTAAAGAGCATTTTGTGGTATTTTTTAACGAAGATTCTATTTGCAAAGCTGTTATCCTTACATGTTATGGTTTATTGCTTTTACAAACTCTAGAGGGACCAGCATTGAAAAATCTTATTAGCAAGTGTTCATTTTACCAAAGAAATCTTTTTAAAAAACTCATAACAAAATATTCATTATACCTTTTGGATCTTCCCTCTTTTTTCAGGCCTTATTGGCGCATTGAATTTTTCACATAGCAACTTAATGGGTGGCTCCAGGGGTTGAAAAGGCAGAAATTTAACAGCGTCGATGTTTTTGCTCAAAAATGTTTGATAGTGAATATAGCAAAGAATTTTAAAATGATCGGTTAGTTATGAAGTTTTTCTGAAAAATCAGTAATGTGTATTTGTCGCTTGCTGCACATTACTTTGCCCTACATTCTTGAAAGGGAATGATTTTTTATTGAACTCACCCTTCCCCTATTTCAGTACAAAGGAAACTGCATGATTGAACTACATCTAAGAGGTTGCACAACCTCGCTGTACACCTATTCTTCATCTTTCATTTTATGCTCGTTGTCACTCCTTTGTATTTGATACCTTCAATGACTGCCAAAATACTTGGAACACTAAGCAACTTGGATTTTTTGTATGTTCCATTTCTTTTCCCAAGTATTTCCTATTTTGGCCCCCATCCCTTCAAACAGTGTCGATAGATCAGGCAAATGTAATAAGTCACAGGAAAAAAGCGCGAATTTGCTCTTGCAAACGGACGTTAGTGTTCCGAGACTTTTGGCAAAGGATTGTTGGCTATGACATTTTATCTTTTTTTGTCAGTTGAAATGTTTCAAAAGTCTGCATCGGCAGTCCATATAGTTGTCTGCTTTGAGTTCCGGGTAGTATCGAACCCTCATTATATGCTGTTAGCTCCTCAGTTTCACCGGTTCATAAAGAATCTTCAGCATTACCAAAACTACGCTGTTGGCTTGCAGAAAATATCCGTATATTTTTTGTAAGAGGGAACTTTATAATAGCAGGATTTCACTGTATTCTCGGTTAATTTTGCCTTAATCAAATTTACATCTGTGATTAAGATGCTGATCTCTTGTCTAGCCAGAAGCAAATTTTGAGGCCCAGATATCAAGGAATGGAACTGGCTATGCCAAGAGAATGTTGGGCCTTTTTGCCAATAGTGAATGAGCTGGCCTCAAGAACGATAGGCCAGTTTACTCGTCTTGCTGTTGACTGAAAAAAATGATTCTCTCCAACCTGAAAAACCCTTAAGCCTGGTTTAAAACAATGTGACAAATTTAAGAATCAGTTTTTAAGGTCTCCATACCTTAGTTTTTGCATCATTTTTCTACACTTTATCAAATGACTTCTGTTTCTAGATACCAAATACACCATCACGCTATCGCCAAGTACTACTGTGCAATAATGATAAAAGACAAGAAGACAACAGAGTTTGTTTTCAAAGATATTTTACCCTATCCGACAACAAGAATGGGGAGGTATCTACTGCAGATAGACATCCTGTATGAAACAAAACCCCTCACATTGCTCACAACACACCTTGAAAGCACAAAACCATCAAAGCATGAAAGAATTAGACAACTTGAGTTTTGCTTTAGACAGGTAGAATTCATTCACACTTTCTGTTTAGATTTTACTTTTTTCTGTTGGAAGTATTGTTTAAATCTGTTTCTTTAAAAATTTAAAGTAAAACCACCTAATGTTTTCCCAAGTAAGAAAGCTCTAAAATATCATGACAACTTGATCTGTTAAAAAACGCTTTAGCTTTCGAAGAGAAAACATTTGAGAGAATTTATGATTGCATCTTAAATGCTTAATATCTGTCGTTCTACTCAGTACTTCTGTTTTTGTTATTGTGTTTCCTCGTGCTCATTTATTCCTGCTTACTTTTCCTGGTCAGGACCTTTTTTAAGATGCCAACTAGGAGGGCAATTACTTTCCATTGTTCAAACCCCAGCCCCAATTACTTTCCATTGTTTAAACAATAGGCTATTGTCTTCTTTTCCATATAAAGGCTTGCCTTCGCAAATATTTTCCCACAGAAAAAGCTATGGGGTCTGTTTATCTAACTTGTTTGATCACTGAGCATTTGGGTGAAATTGAATAAGATTAAAAGCAAATTTTTTAAATTCTGGATCAATTTGACCACTGCAACAAACTTTCACCTAAACATTTGGTCTAAGTTTTGCCATGCGCAACTTACAGCTCTGTCAGATTAAGGACTCAGCAGTAAATCTTCATAAACAAAATGTTGTATTGCCATAGGCCTGCTTCAGTCTGCCCTGGGTACCAGCCACATAAATTCAAGAGGAAACAGAAGATAGGGGTAGAGAAGCGAAGGAGCGTCTAGGCATTCTGTTTACGTGCTCGAAATTTTGTGGCTCTAGTTCCCAGGGTAGCTTTAGTCATAATTAATTCGTAAAATCTAAAGAGGTAAGGTTTCGTCTTGCAGATGACAAACATTGGTGAAAATGCAGCTGTCATTCTTGGTGGAGATTTGAATCTGAGAGATGAAGAGTTAAAAGAAATAGGTGGTATTCCAGACGGCATTTCTGATGCATGGATATTGTCAGGGAGTGACCCCCTGAGAAAGTTTACATGGGACATGACACAGAACGACAACAAAGAATTCAATGGCAAATGGAAGCCAAAGTGCCGATTTGACCGCATATATTATAGAGCATCCTGCGATGGAAATCTGAAGATTTCAAAATTTGAGTTTGTGGGAAAGGAGCGGCTGGGGTCGTGTGACCGATTCCCGAGTGACCATTGGGGAATCCTGTCTGAATTTTCCATTGATGGTTGAAGGCAGAATAATTCTTGATGCGACGTCCATCAACCATAGACAATATATTTGCGTTGCAGAAACAGATAATTTTATTTGTTAATGATGATTTTTTGCATATGGAAATTTGCAATGCCTCGTAAGGCAATCTTTGATCAGCTAGCCGGCTCCTAACCCTTTTGTGATTACATCTTATCAGTCTCTAAACCAAATCTGAACATTGTTTTCGATGACAATAACCAAAGGCTTCTTTCCGGAATAAGATAATACGTTCTGTTTTTGATACTGAAAATGTCTTACAACATTAAAAAATTTGTTAAAAAGTACTTAATTAGAGAAACAAGCAAAAGAAACCAAATCACGTTAACCTTCACAAGGAGATGGGAATATCAATTTCGATGACATAATTCATTTTAATATTTATACTGAAATATACCTAATAGATTAGATTCCTTTCTTTTCTTTAGGAAAGTCATCAAAATTATGCTAGCGATATCCTACTACAATAAAAAATTAAATGTTGATGGCTGCGTACTTTAGGCCAGTGAAAAATTATCTGCCCGAAAACTGATTGGCCTACTAGTTTGTTTGCGAAATCACACTGTTATTCTGTGGTGTTATCCCGCTGCACACCAAAAACAACACGGCATACACAGTAAATTTCCACAGAGCAAAGTTGGTGTAAATACAATGAAAACAGCACTTGCAATAATACAGAATCCAACAGGGTTCTTGCAAACAGACTGGAGCCACTCAGCAATGTTATGATCGCAAAGCATTGTAGGTCTAACGAGCAAAAACTCAACAAAATACCTTGAAGATCATTGGCTCACATTGTGAAAAATGACAGAACATTTGTCGTTTCCTTCAGTTATTCCCTTAACGCCGACCTAAAACCATAAGTTCCATTGCATGTTTAGTGACAATAGTTGATGTTGATGCCGCTGGTTTGTTATGAGAGTTAAAGTTGAAATTTGCTATTAGAAAATGATTATAATCTAAAGTCTTTTGTGTGTACCCTTCCTTCAAAGCAATATCAACATTTTCCACTTGCGTTGCAACACATTAGCAAAGAAGATTCTTGTAAATTGTTCCTCTGATGCCGCACAGCAATTAAAACGATACCATTGTCCTCACTTTTAAGTCCTCTGTCTATTAACAGGTCACTATCTGACCAAATAGAGTGTAGCTTGAACGGAATATCCTAGCAGTTGAGAAAAAACAAGACCTTCGCTCTCGTTTATATCGAGATATTTGCCTAAAAGTCGAGTGTAGGTACGTTTACACTGATAGGTGTTCGGATAATAACTGGACATAATTTAACAATCTAAACACAACAATACTTGAAACTACAACCACCATCAATAACAAATCATTTTTAATTAATGCCACAACTCATATTTCACCATTAATTTTTCAAACTTAATGCGATTATATTTAGGGTAGGGTAAACAAAAACTAGGCCGATCAAACAGAAGCCAGCCAACAGGTATTAGACATGTATTTCGGTGTGGATCGATTGATGTCGTTTGATAAGGTGAATTTAGAAAACTTGTAAAGCTAGCATTAAAACGCTATTTCTAGGCGAATGAGGGGAATTTGTGCTTCTAAAAAGTGAGAGGAACAATTCTGACGCATTACTGCGTGACAGATATTCCGGTTGTTAGCCTGGGCCCAAGTCCACAAATGCTGCAACATTTCTGGACTGTGCAAGATTGATAAATATCTTGTCCGCAGTTTCCACCAGAATCTTGTGGTAATTCATGCAACCCTTCACAATTATGCAACGGTTCAAACCTTGAAAGACTTAAATTCAAGCACCATTTCATCTAAGCCCTGTTTGGTTTCAGTGCATATTCCTTTAAGGATTTTTAATGCAAGGTTTGTTGCATGAATTATTTTCATAAACTAGATCAAGCCATCTTCCTGATATTTATCAATATTACACAGTTCATAAATGTGGCAGCATTTGTGGACTTGGGCGTAGGCAAAGCGTTGTGTTCCCACGTTGTTAACTGTTCTATGTGTCTGTTGTTTGGACATTTTTAAAATTAGCGAAAATGCAATTTAATTCACGGGAAACAAGGAAACAAATGTAGCTAAAAAGGACCCACTTTTCTTTCGAAGAAAAGTACTAACCTGTGTAGAGACAAACTATAGAACTTTGCGTCTTCCATAATTCTTTCAAATATGTAAATACCGATACCGAAGAGGACAATCCGTTTAAACCGGATAAGGGTAATACGCTGAAGCCTGTCCACACAAGACTGAGGAAGACAAGGAGGGAACGAAATTACAGATAGTATGTGATTGTGAAGAAATTCTGTTTTTGATCTAGCAGAACATAAAAGCGTGTCTTTCGAATTCATTTCCCTTGAAGGTACAAAGATAAGCACCCGGGCGCTTATTCGAAGATTTACGGTATATCATTTTTGCTTCTAAAGCAAGTGAAGATAACATGATTTTCCAGGGTTACTCAGAGATTGACACAGCGTACGTTAAACAAATGGGAAGACGTCTGCAACGTACGTTGTTTACTTATATGACGAAGCTAATATTGATATAGGGAGCAAATTACAAAACATTTCAAGCTACAATGCAAGATTATAGACCCACCTTTAACTAGAAATTTTGACTAATTACTAAATTCAAATTCTTGCGAAAAGGTAAATATCAAGCCAGTAGATGAGATTGTACAAATGGAGAATGAATCACAGTGGGGCTGTGGAGACACTGTGGAAGCTCTTCACCCTCGAGAAGAAGAAGGGCTTAAAGTTTTGCACATCGATCTGATTGGTATATCCCAGGCCACTTGATCTAAAACCAATGATATGGTTTGAAAACATCATAAAATCTTCCAAATGTGAAAAATCAGCTAAAATCTTCAAAAAATTGGAAGTGAAAGAACTTCTCTGCGAAGTGAAAGAGTCTAATAGAGAATTGGCTGTTGCCCGGATTGGTTCATAAATATAAAACTTAGGCCGCACTTCACAGTTAGCTTGTGCTTTTAATGGCTAAATTTCACCTCTAGGTTATGTATAATGTTCTTTAAGCAACAAAATTCTACCAGATTTGATGAAGCCATAGCATAACGACAGCCTTGTAGTTGGGACTAAATAGATAAGGGACGAAATAAGGGACTCAAGATATATCCGTGTGATGTTATTACTTAAACCTTGATTATGCTAACTCAACAGTAAATACTAAACTGATTCAGCAACACTTACTTGTTGTTAATCAAGTACGAATAGTTGCCCCAATGCAATTGGTTATTCCTGCGTCTTCCTGTTCCTCTCAACTTTAGCTCCTACAAACGTAAGCATGTTATTGCTGAATGAATGACTTCAAAATGGCATGGAGGATACGGGTATCTTAGCTAAGAGGCGCTTTATATTACGTAGAATGGAGATGTGCTGTCAATTTTAGTTGGATAAAGGTTTCATAACCCTTAAACATAGGACTTGTAATACATACAACAAAGCTGAAGAGGGGGGGGGGGTATCTATTCTCTAGTTTATCTTTAGATGGAAGCTTGAAGTAAGTAATAGGAGCGTTGCAACAGTGACTGACTCAAAATATTAACACCTCACATTAAGATCTTGCAACACATTCAGATTTTGTTCATCAGATAAAAAGCCGCTGTTATACTATTGGATGCTCTGCTTCAGTTTTATGTTGCTGTGCCTAATAACGCTGGTCTCTAGAAACTTCACGTGCAAAATAATTCCTTAGCACGATAAAACTAAATCTATTTGCTTTCATCTAAATCTAGGAACGGCGAAATGAACAAGCCGACCATCTGTTGACACTAGTGCTTACTGTTCGATGAGAAATTATAAGTTGAGCTAAATATTTATTCATAGATGCTAAATACATGTTTTCTTTAATCTTTCCCCATACCTCACTCTATTGCAACCAAAATACGTCCCTCTCAAGGAGAAAATTATTGCGCCTTTGTTTTCAACTTTTAAGTCCTTGCTCGACGAGATAAAATATGAATGAATTTAAGTAAAGCCGAACAAAGTCAGATGTCGGATGCATCTAATGAATAAACAAATACCTAAGCAAGTAGAGGCATGTATCATGGAACACCTGATGTTCTACCTTTGACTTAGATATACAAGAAAGTGTCATTTCAGAAATAGCGACATATTTTTCATCTTGGCATGATATTAAATAGTGTTACAAGGCCTTAAGGGGCTGGGGAATTTTGAATATCTTAGTGTATCTCTTCATGAGAAATGGTCTCATAAACTTTCGCAGAATCTACATTTATCAAAGAAACATCTAAATCGAATACATTAAAAAAACCGCTGAATTACCATATGAAACACGTGTTCTTGAACAATCGTTGGATTCTGGCGTCTTCTATTCCTTGTCTCTGATTGGCTCTTTTGGATTTTTTTTGTTATAATGTTGACTGCATCTCCAACAAGACGATAATGGCCTCTGTTTACCGCAGTAGTCTCTTGCTTCTTTCTCAGAGCGGGGATAGCAATCGTTGGATCATCAGGAGTTGTACAAACAAGTACTGTGCCTTCAAATGGGACAGGATAACAAGGTCAGAAAGAAGGGATTAAATGCATGTACGGATATGACTTATATCGCAAAGTTTGAAGCTGGTTCAAATAAAAGAACGGGACCAAATCTTAGGACCACTGGAAAACTGGGTCCAGTCTCCGATCTCTGAGTTCCCATAAAATTGTAAGAGTCGAGAACAAGTCGCAGATCCCTCTATGAATCTTCCATAGCGATCAAAGAAAAAGTGTTCCCATTGATCAGGGACGAGTTGACAGTTGTCGGAAAATGATAGCACTGATTAACTTGAAGATGGCACTGAACATAGAATACTTTTGTCCGACATTTGACAGATCTCAAAAGTCAGCTGATGACTAAAGGTAAGCAGAATTTATACCCAGTAAAGTGAGAAAAATGGGTACGCTTGATTGGTCCTTGCTATTGACCAATCAGCGACCGCTAATGATTCATCAGTTGATCTAAGAGAGAAAAGGAAGCCTTTCTACCTACACAAGTCGGCATCTGTGCATGCTATATTTCTGCTTTTCCGTTTTATTTGCGAATTTTGGAGTACAAAAATGATAATTACCATCCGAGTAGAAACGCAGGTATCTGAAATACTCGACATAATGAAAGGGGCGGTAATATGAATCCAGACTCTGCTCTCCAGCCCTGACGTATGAATTCTTGCTGATGTAAACCCCTAAAGGCAAAAGAACTGGCTCTCAAATATCGAAAATATGCACTTAGACACCCCCCCCCCTTGTATACCACTATAAACAGGTCTTAACTATTAACTAAGTGAGCCCAAGGCTTGAGACTGCCTCTTCTAACAAGCTCACATTAGTTAGCCATTTCGATCTTGCAATTCATTATCAAGACATTACAAAAAAACTCCCGATAACTTAAAAATGAGGTAAATTTTAAAATTTCTTTCTAATAAAAACATTAAAAACTGGACTCCACTATCGCGTTGTATCCTGCAAGGCCGGCATTGAAAAAAGTACGAATGTTGACAGTGATACTTTTCCGTGTGGACATGGATTATACATACCATTAAAATGCAAATGAGGTCTTTCAAGCAGCATTCGTCTCCAGCAGCCATCATATACAGACGGTGTACCGCAATGAACGCCCCACACCCTAAAAATAAAATTCCCTCCCTTACTGAAAAGAAGATGTCAAGGTTCATTGCGAAAAAATGCATTCAAAATTTAAATTTTCAGAATATGGACAATTATAGGAAGTATTTTCAAAGGGATACATTTTCATCAAAGGAATACACTAATGGCAGGCCTAACCCCAAGCTTACATAGGAATTATATGTTAATATAAGACGGAAGTACCTTCTATGTTCATATTTTCCCTGTTGTATTACTTTCCCTTGCAAATTGTTGCATTGGTAGTTCTAGATATGTCATCATATCATATATGTTATTTTTCATCGTATTGCAAACAATATATGATTTATCAACTAGTATTCTATATTTTTGAGAATCTGCTGGTAGTTACGACCAGAGGCGGACACTTGATCAAATATTGGGGGGGGGGCAAGCCTATTGTTTTAATAAGATGACGTCACATTTCCCATTGTTTTAGAACAAAAGACCGTTGTCCCCTAAAATATTGGGGGGGGGGCGGTCGCCTCCCTCGCCCCCCAAGTGTCCGCCACTGGTTACGACAAATGTTAGGCAGCATCGTAAGACATCATATTAGCTGAACTCAACCCCTATGCAACATACTCGACTTAAATGATTACATAGCAGTGGGTTGCAGCTTGGATCAAAATTAAATTGCAACAAGGAAGGTAAGCCTTAGACATAGCAATAACATGGCCAAGAGGAAGAAAATAGCCTGTTTTTTAAAACAATGGACGGTCATTTAGGCTGCAGGGGCAATTGCCCTCTAGTTAGTTGTTAAAAACGACCCTGGAAACAAACAAATCTTAGTTTTACCTGGCTGATTACAGACGAAAACTCTAAACCAGCTCTTTTGTTCTTTATTAGGGGTTGGAGTTTGAATCAGTTTAGAATTAAATGGATTTGTTGAAAATACCTTAAACATGCTGTTCTCCAGACAGATTCATCTCTTGCACAAGCATAAAACCACTTGCAGACCTTAAGAAAACGTAGCTAGAAATTAATCTGATGCATGGTTTGAGACAACTTCATGACAAACAGTTAATTAAGGTGAACGGAAATTAAACGGTTAATCAAAGTGAATTTCGACTTAACGATGCATTGGACTGTTTAAAACAAAATACAGTTTGACCTTGACAAGAGCTCTGCTACAAACTAGCAAAAATGACAGTTGTAGAACAAAGTTTGTAGCATATCTTGTTTCTTAGGGAAAGAGCCTTCTGGTAATGGGTACAAATTTTTAAAGATTGAATTGCAGTACATCCCCCAAAAATCAAACTTTACATATAGATTGAGCCCAATGATATGACATTACTCAGTATTCGATTCATGTTAGAAGTCATGTTTGGTTTTCAAATTCTAACATTTATTCATCTTAATTAAAATCATTTAGATCACTGAACTGTTATTCCTAAATACAAATCAGCCACATAAAATCGAAATCCTTGGAACCATTGCTATGGAACTTTTCCAATTCTACGTTTATTCAATCCTTTTAACAATTTTAGTTTACGACAAAGCAGCGTTTGGTGTTAGAAAACATGTCCCAATGTGACTTGTGTCGTAATCGAGTTCATTTGTGGCAGTATATAGGAAACGAAAGGAAAACATAAAACAAGGCAAGATTTTTTCGTCTCGCCATTTGACTGGCATCACTAGCACAATATGCACTAAATAGGATAACCAAACACAACAGACTCATTGCAATTAAGTTGGCAAAAGAAACAGAGGTGGCCTTCCTAGAAACTCGGTATCTTACTTACTTACCAGCGAGACCTGCTCTAGAGAACGAAGGTCCAATTCGTCTGAAACCACCCATCTTAAAATGTATATCAGCAGCTCTGAAGGCAATACTGAAATGTGCGTTTGCTACAAAGGAAAACATTCTTAACGTGATTCAAAACCAAATATTTCAGTTGCACAATTCAAGTTGGATATTGAAATAAAGCGAGAATTTGGATTCTTCCATGGTCAAGATTTTGCTCAGCCCTATGGGTAAACATGTCAAAATAACAAAAAACTAAAGATAAATGAATTATATGGTAATAGAGTTCTTACAAATAACTAACAAAAGAAACAGAACACAAAAGGCAGTTCTTTTTACTATGACAAATTCTTTCTCCTGTCAAAACTGCCTTACTATATTTTCTCTAGGACAAAACGTTTTGTGCTGCCTCCAAATACAACACCTGCAAAAATTACTTGAAACATTCTCAAATTTGGGTTGTGCTTTGCCTATTTTAACTTCCCCCTTTTTCCCTTCATCAATTTTGATAGCTTGGAAAAACACCATACAACCCACAAAAAATATTTCCTTTTACCTATAGTTAACTAATATTGTTCCTAGGAAAAGATGGGGTTGCTGAATTTTCCTTTGAAAACTGGCGCTAATGTTCAAAGACTTTTGGATAGGATGACATAACCATATTGTGATGTGAGGTCGACTTTCCATCTAGCAACTTTGGAATCGATCTACATACAAACGAAAAAGCCGCCATTGTGTAGACAGAAGGAGTTCGTTGTCTCTCTTGGACTCCAGTGGTAATTTTTCTTTAGGCACGCGGCACTGATTGGACAACTATACCGGTCTTGTGCTTGCGTTTTTCTGATTGGCCTATTTCGATCAACAACTGGGTATATATTCTTCATTGTGTTTTCTCAGACCCTTATTCTGACGTTTAATGCTCTGAGGAGTGTCAGACGAAAAAGCTTTTAGTAGTATGCTATAAAATGTTTGCTCTTTTCAAAGCAATTTTCAAATGCTTTCAGAAAGAAATAATTCAGGGCAAAACCAATCAATGGAGTAATTACTATAACATTGTGAATCTCATTGAGAATTTACCTTTGAGGGGAATTCTTGTGAACACAGGTCTCCTACACCTAAAGTTTTGAACTGCTTTGTAACAGCCTCTAGCTCTGCACTAGATAGAATGAAGGTAACAATGAAACAATTGATGAAAAATATAAACTAAATCAAGCTAAGTTATGGCTGTATCTGCTTTAATAAACAATTTTGGAATTCATGATACGATGGTGGAAATCTATTATTCGATAGCTAGTTCAGTTTGGGCAAACCAAGCGAAAAATTCATGATGGATAGAGGCCGCTCTTCCATTATTTTGGTCATAAAACGGCTTTAGATCAGAGAAAAACACTTTTAGACTATAAATTTTAATATTAGTTGGTTAACAATTGACCTTGTTTGAGCTACAAATCTGGAAAATATTTGCTGCCATTGTATTTATTGTCCCTTTTCCCTCTCTTGAGTCATGGCTCCACGATCTTCAAGGTGGTCTATAGTTTTGTATGCCAAATAATCAGAGCTGTACTGTACAATACAAAAACTGGCATCCAACTTGAAGTGCATAGTCATATAATTAATCATTTTGTAAGCTACTTAACTAAAGAAATAAAAACAGAGTGTGCAAAAATACAAAAAAGGAAGAAAATATCACCTTCCTTATTGGAGCTTCTAGGCAAAGAAATTCTTGATGAAACATATAACAATTACTTGCTTTTCAATTAAAAACTTTAACCAAAAACACTGATTTTTAAGATTAAGTGAGCATTCTGTCCATTTGCTGCAATCCATTTTGGTTGCAAATAAACTAAGTAAAAGATTTCTTAGACTTAGTAAAGACTAAGTGAGAGATTTCAATGTGTATCAAAAAACTACTTAAATGTGACAAGTGTTACAATAAGCAGTTCATACAAAAAAATTACCTTGCTTGATAATCTGGCTCAATCTCTTCAGTTTCATCATCCTCATCACTGCTATCATCATTCTCTTTGCCTTAGATGAGAAAAACCGAAATAGGAAGCATTTATTAATTTGAATACCCTAACCCAGAAACTCAGAGTAGCAACTTAGAATCATCATATTCTAAACACAAATAGCCCTTTCCGTATCTTTCATGATTACTCACTGAAACCCTTAGTGTTCACTCAAAGAAAGAACAGCTTTGTCGACAAGTGTGAAGTGTCCTTATCATATGAAAACATAATTACCAAAGCATTGGTCTGGTAAAATATAGCTGGCGTGAGCATGAGGTTTGTACCTCCCAACAGATTTTCATTTGTGAACAAATTCTTGGGTACTCATTTACCATCAGCGAAAGGAAGGGCAGCTGAGTTGGCTGGAGGGATTGGATTGAAACCTTCCATGAAAGCTTCTGGTAAGTGATCCAAATGGGATTGAGCACATGATTTCCAGATAATTATCCAACTTTAAAAACATTTCAAAGACTGCTCATTAATTTGCAAAAAATAAGCAGTCATAACTATTGGTCATAGACAAATCTTGTCTGCACGTCATCACGTCATAGACACATCACGTCTTATGCTTTATTACAGAGTTTTTCCTAATTACAAACATTAAATAGATATTGTTGACTCTCTCATGCAACAACAATGTCATATTTCTTCTCTTCATAAGGTAAGTGTGGATTTTAAAATGTTTCATACTGAATTTTGCCTGGTAATCAGCAACTCTTGATTCAATATCTGGGACAAGGTGAACTGCTTGCTTGTAGAAGTAGATTGCTGCAAGAAATGAAAAAACAGAAGCTTGTGTAACAAATGTGTATGTTCTTGTTTTGTGTTTTGAGGGAAATGCTTGGCTTCCATGGCCTAAGAAAAGAAAGTCAATAGATTCCAACAGATTTGTAATCTCCAGATGTGATATTATTGATTCCTGCTAAACTTATACGCACAAGTTGCAAAAAAGCCTAATAACAACATACTGACACCATAAACACAATTAAATGTATACTTAGACAACATTGTCAAGACATAAATACTAAACATTGACAAACTAAAAGAAATGTTTGAATAGGTTCAATACAATACACAAACAGAAAATCAAACATAACAACAGAAATCACCAACATAATTATTTATAAAAATAGAAAATCCGAACTCAGTAACTGGCATTTATTCTAAAATTGGTATTTATTTTCTCTATTTGTTCTGATATTTTCTTTTCTCATTGAAACAAAATAACTTGAAGAATCTTTAAACCCTCTGTATCTATTCAAATAAAACAATTTGCTCAATATCCAATTACTAATAAAAATAATATATAAACTTCATCTAAAATATCAGTTCAAGACTTTATCAACATTTGGTCAATCATATATCATTCTAGAAAACAGCATAGAAGTCTTGTGTGAATCAAGTCATACCTTCATACATTAGTTTTTCTCTTTCCTTTTGAATGCCTTTCAGGAATAACTTTGCAGCCTGGAATACAGTTTTGCAGGATGATAGGTTGAAAAAAGTTCAAGTTTTTCCTTAAGATGCTATCAAAATAATTAACTGTAGCTTTATTGTCATCTACTTCTGTCAGCCTCCCTTTTGTCTGTGTTTTTTTTGTCATTAAAAAAATTGTGTACAGCATTTTTCCAAGGGTTTAAAATTGTTGCTAAATTTGACAAGAGTGGAGGAAGAATACAAAAGTATAGTGCAGGCAATCACCCTCTTCCTTCCATCCTTCCAAAAACCTCACCAAATTATTGGCACTGGCATAGTTTATGACTGCCCATTGCAAATTGTCTCGCTCACAAGAGACAGGAAAAGTAGTTACAGAAAACCACCTCCTGTAAATCACAATAGTTCAGCGTAAAAAATGAAGTTGTTGACAGTGGTAAAGCCAAAAGTCCTGCTGGTCCTGCTGGTCCTGCTGGTCCTGCTGGGCAGGACCAAGAATTTCCAAAGATAAGATTTACTGTAAACAATAAAAAAATTTCTTCTTTGCAAAAAGGAAGTTTCAAATTCTATTCGATACAGGCATCCCGTGCAAATCTCAAGGTCCTGTTCTTTTCTACGGCAGCCCTGTATTTTGGTTCTGCTAATAACTATGATACCCTATGTTTGGTCCTGCTTCACAATAGGCTTTTGTGAATTTAGTCCTGCTTCACAATAGTCTAGAACAAAGAGAAGTCCTGCTCAATCTCGGGAGCAGCACCTTATCGAAATGATCATCATAACATTTCGTAAGCAGTAGTGATTTGATTGATTGAGGGTTCACCTATGTAGGTCAAAGAGCATTGTCTTGAAAACCTTTGGTCCTGCTATTTTGGAGGGCAGGACTGCGAGAATTGCCCTGTGCATTCTCGTTCTGCAATGAGACACTGAGACGAGAGTACTAGCTAGAAGACCAGTTCAAGTGTTATGGTGAGGCAATGTGAATGTTGATTTCCTGCTTGCTTGGGCGATACCAATGATATTATTATTGACAGCAAAACTTGCCTCAGTTGTGTCCAAAGTTCGCAAGAAAGAAATGGTAAACAACAAGAATTGGCTGTATGAGACACTCTAATTTTGGCCTTGGTACAATCGTATGAGGCACGGTATATCATGGTGGCCCAAATAAGTAAGATTTTCTTAGACCTGGACAAGAACGATGGAAGCATAATTAATTGAATTAACTGTTGTGTTATTGGAATTTTGGAGTTGGAGAATAAACCAGTTTCAGCAGAATTTGACTGGTGTTGTGTGATTGATTGCTATGTTGAATACTAATGAGCTGAACGCTGACCTGCTAGTATTGAAGTGTATTTTTCTACCTGGATGTTTACTCGACTAATGGTTTGGTTAATGAAGTTGTTTTCATTGTAAACATGACACATACCTCTCTTTATCAGCTGCAGAATAATCGTTCTGCAGAATATGTGAACTTGCCCCTACAGGCTTTAAACTTGTTTATTAAAATTATTTTAATAAAGTATCTAGATTTGTAAGGTTTATAAGACCAAAATCTGGAATAGTCTAATTAGACTATTTCAACTACCACAAATGTATGATATGCAACTTCAAATGTCACCTCTACCCCCCTTTTATTGTCAAATTTAGTTATCACCAATTTGAACTCTTACTTCAGCTGTAGAGGTTTGCTAATATTTGATATAGATTTATTTGAAAAGTAAGACCCCTAAAGCATGCCTTTAAGTATGGGTTTATTTTTCAAAAGATAGACATCAGTTTAAAATTTGCTTTTTACTGAATTTAAAAAAAATTCATCTGCAAAAAAGAATTTTTGTTTATGGGCGTTTCCTATTTAATAAGGGCGTGGCCCTGTTTTTACAGCAGGGCAAACAATTTTTGGCTAGCTTGGTCACTGGTTGCTGAAACCAATTATTGTTTCATTATTCAAATTTACATCCAAGTAATTTTTTGATTAATTTGTAGCAGTCGTGCATTTAGAAACCAAAGGTCAGGATCTAGCGCTAGAGGACAAGCCCTGTAACATAGTTGTTGGATGGTAATTCGCCCTTGTAAGCTCAGCATTGTTTAGCAAATAACACATCACCACATGTCCTAACCTTTTCTTCTTTCTCTTTTCCAAATTGTCTTTAAGGGTAACTGTAAGAGTATCCTTGCTTTTTAAGCTGTTTTCTGAAACAGTCTTATCAATTTCATTTTCCTTCTGCTCTGTTTGTTCATCTTCGTTTGTTGGTTTATCACTTGGTTGCTCTTCAGTCTCCTGTTTGTGTTGAATTTCATCATGCCATTGTTGACGAAATGATGCAAGTTCAAGCTGAATTCTTTCTTTCTCTTCCTAAAATCAAGACATAAGTTAAATCTTTGAACACTTTTAAAAACAAAAGTAACCACTCCTTTACAACTATCACATACTTAGGTTTGATGTTTAAAATTCAGGCCAATTAAACTACACTCCCCTCACAAAAGCACCCGGACATTTCAAAGATTGATTGCGCTTTCAGAAGAAACAAATTTAGGCTTGCAATAATGACTTTTTAACTTAGTGATAATAATTTTTTGAGAAACCCTTCCAAAATAAACCAGAAAATTGAAATGCTGCAAAACTTCTGCGCTTTTTATCCGTTATCATTTTTTGTTAAAATGAGAAACCTTTGCGCTACAAGCCATATGCAAATCAACTGATGTCAAATAAGCGGAGAACAGCAAAGTCAGGTGACTTGGACTCAGTTAAAATGGGCCAATAAAACCTGGACATTTTTTACAAACTGGTTCTTGAGACATAAATATTTTCGAATAAAGAGAGATACAACTTGTTTACTTTCAGTTGGGAAAAATGTTTGCATGGAGATGCCACCGATCGATTATAAAACATGGATGATATTTGGTAACATTTTACCAGATCAAACACTTTCTTGCAAAGCAAACATATCACTCAGTGCAAGACCATAAAGCCATATTATTTCTTTACCGCTGCAAGTCTTGCTGGAATTGGTCGGTACAAGGGTACATTCACAACTCATTCTATCATTTGTACACAAGGGTACATTCTATCATTTTCCTTGCATTATTTATCCACATCTTTTAACAGTTTAATTGCTTATGAACATTTAATGCAATGTGTAATGATGCAAATCAGTTTTGATGCAAATTTGGTTAGGGCGGAACGCTCAGACGTTGGTGTCACGAGAGCTCTTGCTCTTTTTGACCGTGAAAAATTTTTTAGACTTCTTGTTTTTCAAATTTTTTTGCATATCTCGAAAGAGGCAGTCTTTGTGCATACAAGGATACTAGCAATTTAATGATAGCTTCATCTCATCATTGTGACAAAGCATTATTACTAGACACTGCTCAAAAGTCAATTCTTTTGTTTTGGTCACTATCATCTTGAGGAAAAAGCCTCACAGAGTTTGCTTACATATCGATAAGATTATTTTTTTTCGACGAATAAATGGATCGAAGGCCGAAAAAACTTCAAGAAAAAATTCGAGGAAATTGATAAGAACGTTTTCATGAAAACTGACTTTGAAATTTGTAAACAAATTTCTCTAACAACAGAGTCGCAACTTAATTCGAAACTGTCCGGATACTTTCGTGAGGGGAGTGTGTATGTTAAAAATAGAGGATATTTCATCTCACCATTTCTTAAAAGGACGCTGTAATACCGTAGCACAATTTATCTCTAGAGTTAACTGAAAGCAGCAGGATAAAAAATTCACTAAACAGCCTGGTACACATCGCATAAATTCGTTGAACTGAAACCAGAATATACAAACACGTCTGTGTCTATGGTGTTTCTTTTGCAGAATCAACAAGGTACTTCTGTTAGAACGGCCTCTTTCTTAGCCGGTTAATGAGATCGAGATTGCAATAGAAAGGACGAAGGGAAAACGTGCTGTGGTGTGTTTGAAAATGGAGGCCGAACTATACGATGAGTTTGGAAATTACATTGGCCCAGAGTTGGAGAGCGAAGAAGAAAGTGAAGGGGAAGATGCTGAGGAAGAGTTAGTGCAAGATGCAGATGAAGACGATGAAATGCGAGATGATGGGATGGAAGAGGCCGAACCAGAAATGGCGGTCGTTTTACACGAAGATAAGAAGTATTACCCAACGGCGGAAGAGGTAAGATCCTATAAAAGAACATCCTCTTGTGAATAACATAACCATTAGATAGAGATGCCTCTCAAAAGCTTTCACCTAGCATACTCTACCTCCATAAATAGCCATGACCAATGAGATGAGTTTTTTATGAAAAAGACGTATAGGCCTATATGGAATTTCCGTATGTGTAGAGAATAACCAGGAGAACATTTGCTGGTATCTGAGAAACATTTTGGAGATGTCTGAATAAAATAAGGATATCCAGGTCAAGTGTATTAAACTGTCTGTCTCCTCCAATGCATTCAATTGGCCAAAGGGGAAATCTGCTGGGTTCCGGTTACACATAACTGTTGCAGCTAGATGCTGAAAAACATAACCACAGAGCAAAGAGAGATTTTGAATCTGAAACTTTCTACTACCTTTTGAAATGGTCAGCTCAAAACAAACTAGAAACCTTACCAAAAACATTAAGGTTGTGCCAATTTGAAGGGAAATCTGTGTATGTTGCCCTCTTTGTACAAGACAAATAATCAATTTTGGAGAGGTTCATTTCTCAAATTGACATCCTTATTATTTATTCATTTTTTAATACATACATAATTAAGTTTTGTTCTTGTTACACTACTGACAAAAAATTATGAAATCTCTAAATTGTAACTTTTCATTTTAATTCTGACACATTTTTATCATTGCAAATGACTGGGTATAGCGCATGCACATGTGGCTATCAGTGAATTTGCTGTGAGACATAATATAATGCTTTCTCCATTATTGCTGGCCTAAACTGGTTGAGGACCTCACATATCTGTGGAAACTAACTGATCAGGTTCTGTTTGATGTGTAGATGGGCAAGCCCTGTACTGTACCGATTCTGCCCCTTTGTGGGCCAGACCTGTCACCATATTTTTATAATCATAGTACATGTTTACATGTTTACAAGTAACTTGCTTAAAAACTGTTCGTAAACTGGCTTATATGAATCAACAACCCTTTTAGATAGTTTTTACATACTAAAATACTGACACAAAAGCCCACCTGGATACAATCATGGTAGCCTTTTCTGTGACAACCTTGTTACCTTTTTTGGTTGGCATGCCAAAAACTGGCAGACTTGGAAATTTGAAAACTTCACACTACTTGTTTTTAGCACACCAGCATTGCCTACCCTAAAAATTTCCTGAGTTAGGAAAACTGGGTTAGTTGTAACATTCAAAAGAATCTGATGATAATCTTGATAATCAATGCAAGTAGTCCTTTACCCTTGAACCCAAACTCTATTTTAACCAAGTAATTTTTGTGTCAGCCTCCTTGTGATAATAATAATAGGATAATAATTTTTCTTTAGGTATACGGGCCTGAAGTTGAAACACTTGTTCAAGAAGAAGACGAGCAGCCCTTGACAGAGCCAATTATTAAGCCTGTTGTGAAGAAGAAATTTGCTTTGATTGAGCAAGAACTTCCAACAACTGTTTACAGCATGGAGTTTTTGGCTGATCTAATGGACACTCCAGACCTAATACGTAATGTTGCTTTAGTAGGAAATCTGCATTCTGGCAAGACAACTTTTGTTGATTCCCTGTTTGAGCAAACCCATGCTGATCTGCGGGCAAAGGATGGCAGGGATCTGTCATACACTGACACCCTTGTTATTGAGAAAGAACGACAGCTGAGCATAAAATCAACACCAGTTACATTCGTCCTTCAAGACTGTAAAGACAAATCACATTTGATAAACATTTTTGATGTCCCTGGTCATGTGAATTTTTCTGATGAAATGACTGCAGCGTTTCGACTATGTGATGGGGCTGTCATTTTTGTTGATGCAGCGGAAGGTGTCATGATGAATGTGGAGCGAGCCCTGAAGCATGCAGTGCAAGAACGACTAAAGGTTACAATATGCATCAACAAGATAGACCGCCTGATTCTAGAGTTGAAGCTGCCACCAACTGATGCCTATTATAAACTGAAACATATAATAGATGAAGTGAATTCTCTTCTTAATGTGTATGCTGAAGGAACTGATGACACCATCGTTTCCCCTCTACTGGGAAATGTCTGCTTTGCAAGTTCACAATACAGATTCTGCTTTACTTTGCAATCATTTGCAAAACTTTACTGTGATACCTTTGGTGGAGGAATTCACTACAATGACTTTGCCAAGCGCCTGTGGGGGGACATATACTTCAACCAGAAGACTCGTAAGTTTACTAAAAAAGCCCCTCTCAGTACTTCTCCAAGAAGCTTTGTTGAATTCATTCTAGAGCCACTGTATAAACTGTTTGCCCAAGTAGTAGGGGATGTTGATACAACACTACCTAAAGCATTAGAGGAGCTTGGTATCCATCTGAGCAAGACAGAATTGAAAATGAACATACGTCCACTGATGAGGCTTGTTTGTAGTAGGTTTTTTGGAGAATTCACTGGTTTTGTTGACATGGTTGTTCGCCATGTTCCATCTCCTGCTGCTGCTGCTGAAACGAAGGTAGATCATATTTACACTGGGCCAAAAGATTCAGAAATAAGTGACTCGATGATCTACTGTGATTCTGACGGCATTTTGATGGTGCATACAAGCAAGCTGTATGCTACTGAAGATGGCATACAGTTCCATGCATTTGGTCGTGTTATGAGTGGAACTCTGCATGCAGGCCAGCAAGTAAAGGTCCTTGGTGAAGGGTATACGATTGATGATGAGGAAGATTCAAGAGTCAGTCTTGTTGGCAGACTGTGGATCAATGAAGCAAGGTATAAAGTAGAGGTCAATCGTGTGCCAGCTGGGAACTGGGTTCTAATCGAAGGAATTGATGAGCTCATTGTAAAAACGGCTACAATTACAAGCATGAAAGGATCTGAAGATGTTCACATATTTAGGCCATTAAAGTTTAACACAACCTCTGTGATCAAAGTCGCTGTTGAGCCTGTCAACCCGTCAGAGCTTCCAAAAATGTTGGATGGACTGAGAAAAATCAACAAAAGTTATCCTTTGATAACAACAAAGGTGGAAGAGTCTGGTGAGCATATTATTCTTGGTACAGGAGAACTTTATATGGATTGTGTAATGCATGATCTGCGTAAAATGTATTCTGATATTGATATCAAGGTAGCTGATCCAGTAGTCACATTCTGTGAAACTGTTGTTGAAACATCATCCTTGAAGTGTTTTGCTGAGACGCCAAATAAGAAGAACAAGTTAACCATGATTTCAGAACCGTTAGAGAAAGGTCTTGCAGAAGACATTGAAGCTGGCAAAGTCCAAATTTCATGGGACAAAAAGCGTCTTGGAGAGTTCTTCCAAACAAAGTATGACTGGGACTTGTTAGCTGCCAGATCAATTTGGGCTTTTGGCCCTGATGCAGCTGGCCCAAACATACTTGTAGATGACACACTACCAAGTGAAGTTGACAAGAATCTGCTTAATTCTGTGCGGGACTACATTGTACAGGGGTTCCAGTGGGGCACGAGAGAAGGGCCTCTTTGTGATGAGCCAATAAGAAATGTCAAGTTCAAGATCCTTGATGCTGGAATCGCAATGGAGCCAATTCACAGAGCAGGTGGCCAGATCATTCCAACATCAAGAAGAGTAGCATACTCTGCATTTCTACTGGCAACACCTCGACTGATGGAGCCATACTACTATGTAGAAGTGCAAGCACCAGCAGATTGTGTGTCATCAGTTTACACTGTGCTGGCAAAGCGAAGAGGTCATGTCACTCAAGATGCGCCCATTCCTGGCTCTCCATTGTATACCATAAAGGCGTTTATTCCAGCTATTGATTCATTTGGTTTTGAAACAGATCTTCGTACACACACGCAAGGCCAGGCCTTTTGCCTGTCAGTCTTCCATCATTGGCAGATTGTACCCGGAGATCCACTGGATAAAAGCATTATTATACGTCCACTTGATATCCAACCAGCCACACATCTTGCAAGAGAGTTCATGATTAAAACACGAAGAAGAAAGGGCCTAAGTGAAGATGTAAATATTGACAAGTTCTTTGATGATCCTATGTTGTTGGAGCTTGCAAGACAAGATGTCATTCTTAGTTATCCCATGTGAAGAAGTACTTTTTATAAAGAATTAACGTCATCAAAAGGCATGGAAAAGCTGCAAGCTTTTTGTGCAAGTTTCATGTATTTCATCCAAGATAAAGATCTATTCAACAAGGCCAGTGTCAAACTATTCGATACGTCATCAGCTGGTGAATTGGACAGTTTTTTTAATGGAATCAGAACGTTTATTAACGTTGCAGTGGGGTTTAGTGTCATATTTCTGAAGATATATCGATGAAGTAGCTGTTTTAAAACAATATAGATGGACATCAAGTTATTGTATTTATTTGATGTAAAATTACCTCCCCATTTTGAAAGAGATCTTTACACTTGACGTGCAAAAATGAAATAGCTATCAACAAGCTTTACTAGCAAATTATAGTTCTTATTAATCGAGTCCATTGGTTGAACATCAAAATCGTTGTTGCTAGAGAAATAAGTTTGCTTTCAATTTGTGTACTTTACATCATCAACCTAGCTTGGCTCTTGTCCTTCATTTCCTGGTTCAATGATTTAAGTATTGGGAGTGATTCCATTTAACTTGAATTAACGTTGAAGAAATATCTGGTTTCTATAATATAATTCGTTATCTTGACGCTGCTTGAAAATTTTTGAGATGGTGAACGAGTCTTCAAACGACAGAGTCACGCCTTTCTTCCAATCAAAGTTCAAGTGCAAAAGGGGTAAACAGTGGGTTCTACGTATATGCTCCTTTTTTACAAAAAAGGGTAAGGTCCATTCGCTTGAAGAGTTTCATTTGATGTTTATCCCCAAGGAAGATGTCTGGTTGCGTAGGACAGAGGGTATTTGAAAGTAACGCGTAGCTCACCACATTGCATTCTTATTGCTAATACCAACAACAGCTATAATTATAATAATTGCTTAAAAACCACAGTTAAATATTGCTTGTGTATACCAATGTCCAACCTGAGAATTGTATTCATACAATGCTAATAAGTTTATTAATAGTTCCCTTTAATCCTTAAATGAATTTCGTAAATATTTAGGTACAACAAATATGATTAAATTGTTTCAAGTATGAATTAATGCTACTATACTGATATGAAATAATACCATAGTCTAGAAGGAATGATGGCCCAGTAGTTGACGGCTTCGAAAATAACACTGAAAATCAAATAACCACATAGGCCAGGGACTTATTTTGATTCGTTTTAGAAAAATTTTGAAGATTTTGGCTCGTTAGCTGGAGGACTAATAAGTAATTTTCAAGGGTCTTTCTAATCTAAAGTAGAACTAAAAAGCCATTATGAAAGGATTTGACGAATAATGTTGATAAGGAAATAATCCTGAACTGAAAACAGAGAAAACAGGCAACATTGTTTTCTGGCAAAAAAACTGGGATGCGAAGATCTGCTTCCTTTTAGAAATTAAACTTACGCTAAAATATTTCAAAATCAGGCCTATTTGGGACATATTTTCTAATTATATTGCATAGCCTGTACAATCTTGAATATGTTTTATCAAACTAGAACAATTAATGGACGAAAGGTTCACGTGCTTCAAAACATCATTCGATTTTACCAGCCAGAGAACGAAACGAACCATATTCTCTTGGATTTATAGGAAAACTTGTCATCGTCTAGATTTTTATAGTTGCAAATGAAAGAACAATGGTATAATTTCTGCTGTTAATATTATTAGAACCTACAATAAAAGAAACGCAGGAGAAACATTAGGTAGATACGAAATGAACAACTATCGTTAGGAGGCATTCCAGGAAAATCGATACGTTTCCAAGAAGCATCAGTTACCATCTCCAAACATTATTAAATAAACAAACATGCTCAGACCATTTACTCTATGAATTCTCCAGTTACCACTACCATATTAGAATTTAGCAGATCCGCCACTTTTTCTTTCATCAGCATACGTGGAAATGAATTTCTTTTGTTGCGATATGACGTTAATAGTGCCCAGTCTCTCAGCGCTGTTGTCCATTTTATACCCCATTGCTTTGAGTTTACTCAATACAGAATCAATCCCAGCTTTGTGAAATTTTTTGCCTGAGAAAGGAAAATGTACTACTGTAAGCAAACCATGGTATTGCATTATTGGTCTAATTCTTGTGCTATTAACGATAGAAGATGTCCCTAAATATTTACGTAATAGTACGAGGAGAAATTCTCTCTTTTGACGTAGTCCGCACTACGACTCATCAGTCTATTACAGCGTCACAACGATTAACAATTCGATAACAAAGTCACAGTGACATGTTTTAAGGAATGGAGCTCTCGACAAGAAATGGGTTTTGGTTCCAATGAGTTCTTGAATCAAGGGTTTACTAAAGTATATTCCAACCCTGTTTACTTCAGTCCCTTAAACTCATTGAAACAAATTCATTCTAGGAAACGAATTTGAAAATTAACGGGTGTTTTATCTTTGATGGTTGATAACGCTTCATTTTAAGCCCAGGGACAATTCTTTGCCTGAGACCAATTTTTGGATTATGAAGCTTCTAAGATTATGCAGTCTCTTGGCACCATCTGGCGTTGTACTACCACCCCCTCCCTATCTTCCCTAAATCTTACGATGGCAAAATCCAGAAATCCCAAGCGTTAAAGACACAACAGTTGAAGGATATCTACATTTCGTGATTCCGTAGCTAAACTATATATTAATGGAAATTAACATGTATCAGGCTTACACATTCTCAGTTTAAGCAAAAAATCGAGATCAATCTTAAAAAATAAATTGAAGGAAAAAGATCTAAAGGCAAATTTTTGAAATAAAGAATGATAGATAATTGAAAACCTTCAGCAAGGACAGCATCTGGAGTAAGCTGCGTGTGGATCCTTGGCCTTTTTACTGCATCTTCGCCAGACAAACGGTAGTGCAGAAGATCTACCAAAACTAAACAAAACAAAAGTTTTATTTTCGTCAAAGTGATAGCTGTTACATATCTACAAACCTTCACAAAATATATTTAGACCAGTGATGGGATCAAACAAATTTACTGCCAGTAATTTACTAGAATTGCAGTTAATCCCTCTTCCCCTTAAAGCAAAATTGTTGTGATTTTGATACTGTATACGATCTTTGCACACACGATTTGCAACTTTTTCACAAAATCTGATATAGCGAGGGATGAACAGCAACCAAAAACAATCTGTAAACTGATCGATGTTTAAATGGTTTACAAATTATTTTATGATTTACTAGAGGAATGGCTGAGTTCACTTGGAGTGATATTTATGTTGGCTGACTGATCATTGCCTTTCTTAAAAGATTTCTTTAACAGTTAAAAAACCGCAAGGGAATGCCGAGAATTTTTCTTGCATGCCTAATAGCTATTTTTACCAGGCAGTCGTCAGAATATGGAGCATTCGAGGACGAACAACTGTGGCAAATTAATACGGAAATAAGTAGGCCCTTCAGTTCCATAAAGATATCTTGCCGTAAGTATAAGTTATCAAAGACCCACACATCTCTGTCAGGTGATAGAACGTACATTGGACGCATAACCATCAATAAGCAAATATGACAAAGTAGACAGAGTTTCCCAGGCAATAGTAACGGAATGACACAATCAGGTGAGAAATCACACGGAATGAAACACAAACAAAAATCAAATTAAATACCACATACCCTGGATGGTCGCAGTGATTGCCTTTGCCCCACCACTGGATCCAACTATATACTGGTCACTGCATGGTTTCTATAAAAAAGATCGTTAATTACCATCATTATAAATTGCATTTGTTTCAAGAACGTGAATTTGTTCAGTGAGAAGAGATGTTATTAGGGGAGGGATGGGGGACACTTATAGGATAAATAGAGGGCGTATACCAGCAAAGGTGGAAATGTAACATGGGAAGGTTGGTTAGCAAGTATTTCTTCTTCCTTGACAATAGTCAAAGTTTCTGTATTCTTCTTTTGCACTTCAGGATTAAGTGTCAATGCGTATGGACATATGGTGAAAAATGCTACTCACATTTCAAAATGCTACCCTTTTAAGTTTCATAAAGACTCAAAGTATTGCTGTATTCAACGATGAGTGGTACGAAACATGGCAATGACAAACATTAGCGGCTATTTGTGATATCTGAGATTTTTGTCATATAACGAGGCTACGTATATCATAATGAATGCTCTGTGCAGACCCCCCAGACACATAGATCTTGCTGGCAAATATTCAAACATCTGTAAAGATATGGTTCAGTTTGCTTTCGTGTTTATCTTTGAAGGCCATTTGGCAACCAAAACAAGGTGAAAAGAAGCTAAAATTTAAAAATTATAGCTAATAGACTGTCTTTAGTTATTGAGTCCAGTGGAACCAGACACAAACTACACCTCTTGACTTCTTTGATCGGTCTTGCACGGAGGTGTTAGAATAAACTCAACAGTTAAGTCAACAGCTCTAAAAAGAAGTTTGAAAGAAATAAGATAAGAACTTCAATCAAAATAAAGATTTCTATTGAAAGAAGCAGAACAGAAATACCATTGTGAGATTGCAGTACCTTTTTATTGAACGCAATGACAGGTGATGCCGCCGACAGGGGCCTTTTTCCAGGCTCTATGTAATTTGCCTACAATAAAACGTGCAATGCGGGTTGATAATTTTGTTTACCTTCAGGCTACATGTTATGGCATATATAAATAGGCTGGTGACGACAGGAAGAAAATTTTAGGGGTATGAAAGTGATACCTTTGATGGGGGTATCCCATCGCGATCATTGAAACCAGGCGATGAGAAACTGCTCATTCCGTTGTTGAGGACAATTCCAGACTTTGTTACTAGTTTGGAGCCAAATGAGCCACCAATCGTACTATAAAAAAAGAAAAATTAGAATCGTGGGGGTAATGAACAAAGGAAGGCAAAAGAGATTACTCATTGAAATTATCTACAACCGCAGATTCCTGTTTACAGTCGACCCGACTCATCACTGTGTTGTCGCAAACTGGCCTTGGCTTTCGCGAGTACTACCTGATTTCAAACTCTGATTAAACACACACTCGCTGGTCAAATAATGACTATTGTAGTGTCAAAAGTTTCGGAGAAGATGGGAAAATTTAACAATTAAAAAAATAGGCAACAAAATTTCGCTGCATAGACGCTTTAAAGACCGTTAACAAGCTGTAATTAAGGGTGAGGTAATTGCACGGGATAGAAGACATGTTCAAAAGAAAGAGGGAGATGGAAGAGAACAGCCAGAATAAGAAAGAATTATTGAATTAGTAAATTGTTGTCTGGATCAAAGAAGAAAAGAAAAAGAACGGATGAATAAAAACAACGTAATCAAAGAATCAATAAAAAATCACAAGATCAAAAGAAAGGAGAGAGTAAGGACCAAGTATAAAGAAGTATAAAAAGGAAAGGATAAATAACAAGTTAAAATTAAAGAGAGAATTTTATATTAAAGAAATAATTTCGATTGCAGTTTTGATTTGCAAGAAAACAAAAGTTTTAAATAACAGACCATATTAATTTTCAGTTCCCATTTTTTTATTGCTTACACACATAATTACACTAATGCCCGTAAACTCACAGGCACTATGTCAACCGTGCACAGTTAACATCAGGCTTTGCAGCGCGTTGATAATCAAGAGAACAATGAGAATTAGCCGATTGGAACAATAGGTTTATTGTATGGTGCAACCAATGGGAGATTTAAATGGCCAGCGAAATGAGTCAGAACATAGTGCCTTTAAATCATGCACTTACCTTACGACTGAAACTAAGTCGCCATTGTTTCCCAGCACAACAACATTTGCAGTTCCTTTAGTAGCAGCGGTTGAAAAGAACGGTCCGTAATAAGATGCAGGGTAGGTCTTGTTGAAAGAAATCTTTTTGCTCAGCTCGTCAGCCATCTTTTTACTGGAGAGAAAGTAAACAACTGAAAACCACAGAAGTGTTTTTCGATATTTTTTGCAATATTTTTCGAGAAAAACGTCCAGGGTCTTCCCCCCTGGCACTAAGATAATTTAAAATTTTGGAAGGCATGAAAGCAAAATGAAGTAAATGTAGCTTAGTGTATTGTTTCATACGACTTTTTTGCGTTTCAGTATTTCCCTTGGTTCTTGTTAAATAGTTATGAACTAAACACCTCAACCAACATTGTTCTGGTCGATAAGAGCGGTGTATGTTATTTCTAGAAGAAGTTTTGAAAAAAATTTCAGACAACCAATTAAATCTGCACCATCGTCTCCTCTTTCTCATTTTTAGAGAAGGCCTACCAACACTACGATGAAGCAGATACTTTTTCTTAACGATACTGTATTGGCACAGTCTGTTTGTTCTACATTCTATATATTCAGACCCTTCTCCCCCCGACAACTTTATCTATAACCGAGAAAGAATTACCAGTTATATGCACCCCCGGGTTTTCAGCACTTGACATTAGTTGACGAATTTCAACAGATATCAAGAATCAATTTTTAGTCAGGCAAACAATTACCTTAGCATCTGCGTGACAACATCTTTAACATCTTTATTGAAATGAGGATCTCCAAGTTTGCTTCTCTCAGCAAATACAAATTTGAAAACCTTGAAGAAAATCCATACAAATTTGTCAAAAATAAACACCTCATCAATAATTCAATAAGAATTTTCTCCTATGCTATCAAGAACTACCTTATGCATTCATGTGCGAACGCATTTTCAAAGTACACAAGTGACGTCATAAGCTTTCAGGATTACAGAAGATGCCTTGGTATAGATATAGGTTTTCAGTGGTATACCTCTTAAGGGTGGCGAGTTGATTTTCAAGTCTAGAGGCTTCTTCTGATCTCTAGACCTCTGTGAATCCAACGAGAAACAGCCTTTAAACTTGTAAATAAACCCACCACCAGATGTTACCAGATTTCTAAAGGTATTTGTTCTACCTTCAAACACTTACTAATTCTATTAATTCTCCAGAACAACCACACCTTTCAACTTAATAGATAGCCCCAATGGGGGTGCGAACAGTTTTGGTACTGGGTTCAAGTTTTTTCAGATTGCTAAAACCTAGAGATTCCAGTTTAAAGATCAGCATTGATATTGAAAATTTTAAAATTTTGAGAAAATAGTAACCCAAAGTGTTTGCCACTTGGAGGAGAATTAGAGTGGCCTCGAGCTCGCAACCTACTACCTCTGCGATTTTGACAATACGGACGGCAATTACTACTTAGACAAACTGCAGACTAAGGAAATTCTCAAAAACCCTTGGAGTCGCTGTGGAATTCACCTTGCACGCGTCTCCAAACAAAAATCTTGTAGCAGGTTTCGATCATAATTCGATATTTAATTGATCGTTTCTCTATTGACTGGATTGTTGGTCAGTCTGATTTGCTGCAAGATGCATATCAAACGCACGCCAAAACACGAAAATTTTACATGCCCAGAGACGATGATCTTATATTTCTTTATCTATGGCACAAGAAAAATACTATTTTACAGGATAAATAATATACCAATGCACAAGAACATCAAAGCGACATTACCTCTGCCAAGTAATGATAATTCAAAGCTTTGTCTTGATTGGCTTGCTGTAACCCGAGACGGTGGATTAGATTCATGGCTGCTAGAACGACTGTGCCACTGGATGGAGGAGGTGTTGAAATAATCTTGTAGTCTAAGATAAGATAGGATGTTAGGTTACATAGAGGAGGATACGTGCTTCACACTCCTTTTCTATAAGAACACACTTAATAAAAGCACTAAGGCTGGATTTACCAAAAAAATCAATAAAGGTATATTTAATGCTTCTGGTATATCTAATGGTATTGTGTACTGTGAATAGATGTCCTCGTGAAACGTTGAGAGACAATTGGTTTTTAAAATGCTAAGGCTATGAAAAATGGTAACAATTTTTTTCTAAAGCGTAGAAATATATCTAGATGAAAGCAAGAATCAAATTTACTTTAGTGACATTAGATCTGACGCTGAATCAAATCTTATTCGGATATGCTAAATAGTATGATTCAGGCATGCTCAAAAATCCTTATCTGTGCAGCTTTTTTAACTTAGTGAAAAACAAGCATGAGTGTTACATCAGCTTCCTTTGTAACTTGTTCGTAGTATCTAACCTCTTCATAAAGTGCTATTACCAAATCAATCGTTTGAAATAACAAATTTCGTCATCTTGTCACCATAGAAACTAAATCGAGAATTGAAGCCTCCAAGATGTAACAACTTACCTCCAAAGTCTTGGCTATAAACCCCTGTTTCCAACGCGGTATAATTGTTCAAATCACTTGCAGTCAAATTTCCACCATTGCTAATAACTGTATCCAGAATCTCCTTCGCAGTATTTCCACTGTAAAACGCCTCTTCGCCATTTTTTGCGACTCCATCCAACACCAATGCAAGCTTTTCTAACTTTAATGTATCCCCAACCTGAAAAAAGATTGATCCAGCAATGAACAACATTGATTCTTTAATTTTTTTAAACCTATCAAATTTCTAAAACTTCTTATTTCTTTTTATAACATGATACAAATATTTAGGGGGTATCATTACAATTGATCCACGAAAAGAAAAACATAAGAATCTTAGAACATAGAGGCTTTCTTTCTTTAACAAGGAGCCTTTGTAAAAGATTCTATTTTAGATTGAAGCGTCACGAGGTTAACACCTAAATGCAGAGCCATCCTTTATCATGTCACAAAACCCATTACATTAACAGACCACATTGATCATCAAAATTCACCTTTTTGTCAGAGCCTCAAATTTCCAAATTCACCTTTACAGCAGAATCAGATTTCCAAATTCACCTTAACAAGGAGCCTTTGTAAAATGTTATATTTTAGACTGAAGCATCATGAGGTCAACACCTAGATGCCAAACATATCTGCTGAGCCATCCTGAATCACGTCACAAAACAAATTACATTAACAGGCCACATTGATCATCAAAATTCACCTTTTTGTCAGAGGCTCAATTTCCAAATTCACCTTTACAGCAAAACACTATGAGCAGATCTGGCCATTTGAGTAGAGCTCTTGCTCCCCTCCTGGCTCTCCTAAAACTATGAAGGGCTCACCTGGAAATTACTAAGAGAGCAGTGTGCTGCTCCCCTGCTAAGTCTTGTGGCCAAGCCTGCCTATAAGCAGTGTGACTTTTGTCTAAATTGATCTTTTTAGTGAGAATTAACTATAGATTGGCAGTGTCACCATTTAGGACTAGTTAGTTTGAATTGTTTATGCATTTCTGTAATTCTAGCGTGCAAAAGTGGTAGCAGGAAGTACATTTATATAAAAACACATCTCTAAAAACATGAGCATTGACTTTGTCCTTTAATATTTCTTAATTAACATCTTTAGTCCACAATGAAGACAATGTGCAAGATAGAAAATATAATATTGCAACATTATATTTTTATCATTTCACCTCTTCTTAACAGTTTTATACTTGAATCAACTGCCCCAAAAAACAAAACCCAACAGTTATTCTCCAAATGTAACCTTTTGAAGTATTTTGGTAAACATGATCATACCTTTGGTATTTTCCCACTTGGTGTAAAAACTTTCTTAAAATCAGCTGAAGCACCAGTCAAGGCATTGCTGATTGAATCAACTGAAACAAGATAGTCATGGGATAATGAATGGCAAATAGATTCAGAGCAGAAAAGTAAGTTCTGGCCTGCATGTTAAATTACCCAAGGAAGATATTCAAATCCACAAAACATTCACAAACAATTGATTTCACAAACAGTAAATTTAGGATCATCACAATTTTTTGGCAAATTTCAATACCCTTTCAATTATTGTTTAGTATTTCAATACCCTTTCAATTATTGTTTAGTATTTCAATGTCTAAGTAAACTTTTTCATTTCTGGAATACCTTAACCAAAATGATAAAATACAGGATTAGTTCCAGAAAACACAGAAAAACTGAAGTAAAATACATAAAACAGGATTTCAGCAGCAAAATACAAAGCTAAAAAGCTAGCTTCAAGACTAGAAGCTATGGCAGTTTTTCCAGTTGTGTTTAAAAGCCACATTGTTGGAAATCTCTACTAAGAATTATAAGGTCTAACTTAATGGGAATAATTGTTACCTGAAGTATCTTCAATTTCAGATTTCTTAACACTTCACAATTATCATACATAAAGGGGCACACCATAGATCAACTTTGACTCAATTGACTCAAAAATAACATCTTTTATGCTATATATGCAAAAAATGTCAACATTGATAGAAACTTGGTTAATACTTACATATAAAAAGCTAAAAATATTCAAAATAAATCAGTCTAAACTGACCTAGGTCCTGGTTAACTTTGAATCCACTTTTTGCTATTCCAATGGCAGGTTCCAACAAATTTGACCATGGGAGCCTAGGGAAATAAGAGTTGTGATTTATATTTTGAGTGCCTAAGTTTCCACTTACATACATAATTGTACTTTTTTTATTTATGAGTGTCTTCAATAATTGTTCTACTTTTCTCTAATGGAATGAGCTGTGTATCACAACACCTAGTTGCTTACAAAATCCAACATGTTTATTCCAGAATATTGCTGGATAAAGGAGAAATTAATTTGGTAGGGAGTGCCAAAATTACTTTCCACTGTGCATTCAAGAATGTGCATTCAGGGACTTTTGCCCTATAAAAATAAGGACATCATTGAACTTCATTTCTAAAATTTAGTTTAATGGAATTACAGGTATGTATTTCTATCTATGACATTTTTTCAACATTACATATTGCCAGTCCTCAATAGAAACCTACTTTCCATAATCTTTGTGAGCCAGCTTTAGTCCTTTGAGTAGTCCAGGAATGGCAAAAGACAATGCACCCTAAATAAGAAGACATAATCTCAGAAGAACTGTTCATTAGTGGATTGTGATACACAAAATGGAATGAAACATATTTTAACAAAAGACACAAGTATTTTGGCCCTTTAATTTTCATTTTCGGAGACACATAAAAGAGGAAACCAAAAACTGAATATGAATACAGAAAGCCAAGTGACATGGGAAGAATAATAACATCTGAGTAGATGATTGACAATTGCGATAACATTGATGATGATTATGATGGTAAGTGGCAAAAGCCGAATGATCACAAAAATAAAAGTACCGTTACTGATTTCGATTTATCTTTGCCAAACATATCCTCTGATGCTGAATTTGGTGCAACAAACTGGAAATCAATTGTAACATCTTTGCCATTTGGTGTGTGCAACAACATATAGCCCCCGCTGCAATAAAAAATTTATGTGAGATCACAACACATTTTTAAATTTTAACTTTAATAAGCTTAATTTTAAAGATAGAATAAAAGAGAGTAGAGTGAAACAACAATAAAAATATGTCTTTCATAAATTATCAAGATAGTAGTTTAAAGAAGGAGCAGTTTACACATGATTTCAGTCCTCATTACCCATATAGATTCAAGCAACTAAAAGCTTTTAATACACATACACATTAGTAGGATTTTTCCATTCAGTCCAAAAGTCCTAGAGAGGTATCTTTCAACATTGAAAAATGTCAAAGAGTACTTAAGAGTACACCTAAAAGAATCCATAGAATTGTGAAAGAATTCCGCAGTTTACTAGTATCAATTGTGCTTTCTTTCCTGCTCCCTTCTGAATCAGCGCTTAGTGTTGTGATTATCATGCAGTGCTTTGTGTTTGTCAAGTGCTTGATGAAAAACTAGTTTAGTATACAAATGTTGTTCAACTACATTGCTTCATCCAAACACATACAATACGGCTGGATCCAAGGATATCAGTTTGTACAAATACTACTAAATTCTTTCAAGTAGCTTAAAAATTATTTGTCTTTGCAATCCTTAGGTTTTGGTTTATGCAGTCAGGTATACCTAATTTTAATCTATATCTATAATATCTGAATTACCTTGTAAGACCTGTACTGCTTGGCCTTGTTACAGTAAGACACAACATTGTTGCAATTGCTGCATCTACTGCTGTTCCTCCATCATGAAGGATGCTAATTCCAATGTTGGAGCATTCTTGAGAATCACTAGCAACCCCACCATGGCCTGTTGGAGCTTTCCTCAGAAATGTATCTACTACTACTCCTGCAGTTAATGAAAGTGCAAAAAGAATGCAGCCAGCAACTATCAATTTGAAACCATCTTGTGGGGCACATTTGTGGTTAGTAGCTGGTTTCTCCTCCTTAGCTTCCTAAAAAAATTTATTTTGAGTGAAAAATATTACAAAGTTATAACCATATCAATATTCTATCATAATCAGACTTTCCTATACCACAGAAAGTTTTGCTTTGTCTGCACTGGCTATTATGCAGCTATTATACAAATATATTATCATTTCTTAGTTTTAGATGCTGTTCTGACTGAATTCCATCCATGTTCCAAATAGAAATTCCACTGTTTTACGAGACACAAATCGTTTATTTCCAAGTTCTAGAATCAACTTCCATTTTTATCAGAGCTAGCCCAGGGGTCTGTTGTTCCCCACAGAATCTGGGAAATTGTTTCTAAATCATAATAGAGTAGAAAGGATGAAACAATTATACCAAACTTGCAAATTTAAGATTTTGAAGAGACTGTGATAAAATTTAGAATTTCTAGGTTTCACTTTTTGATTTCAAATATCACTTCTTTCAAGAAACATTATTTTTACCTTTAGGTATGTTGTAAAACTGACTGAGTTCTGGGCAACAAGAACTTACTCTGGATCTGCCTCTGAGAACTGTCTATATTACTTATTATATGTTTTTGACAATATTATCTACAGGCAGGCTGCTCATATGTGTGGTCTTGGATTTAATAATTAAATCCTAAAACATGTCAACTGTAATAACTTAGTTTTAAGAATTTGCTATAAAATATAAGTCCCTGCTAAAATCATAATCCCATACGAAATTTTAGCATTAAAAAAGAGCAATCATTTGATAACTCCCTTTAGATTAGGCCATGCTGCGACGTTGGGAACTCCTTTTTCTCTAGCTTAATTATATTATCAAATAACAAACAACAATGTGCAAGCTAGAATCAAACTTCTTTGTGGCTTTCAGTTTAAAGATGCCTTCGCACGTCTTAATATATTATTATAAGTTTCTTCGATTGATAACATACATAACTATTGGATTCCCATTTGGAATTTACCACGCAGAAAAAACTGACTTTCATTACGCCATTCATTATGAAGCAATTATATGATTCTAGTTTTAGACAAGAACGGGAAAAACGAACTAAGTAAATGATGAAAATTTGCAAAATTTACCATCGGTGCTTCGTCGTTTTCGAACTTTTCGTAGTTCTGGCCTTTCGTTGTGTCTTGCATCCCCATGTTTGGCATAGAGTCTTGCAACGAAAGCTTTAACCCGGATCCTGATGACTGAAAATGCTGTTGAGATTAGCAAGTTTGCTACCCTTCTCTCATTCAATAGAGCAGCCCATGATGACGCGTTTTCTTTTGTTGGGGCTTCAGGCAATGCAGCTGTTCCTTCACGAAAAAATATATTTTTCACGACGACCGACAACAAAAACTAATTCCTATTTGCATATATTGTCACTTCTAATAAATTGATGCCCACACTTGCTTGAAAGATCATAGACAAGGTTCTAGTTATGGTATCTTCTTCAAAGCAGCTGAAATGATGTTTTGGCTTCTTGCCCTGCAACAATGTATTTCAATGTCACTTAACAACTTCCATGACATGTCCCATCTTTTCTCCTCCGCAATTTCTGATTCCCGTCGCAACAACCACTCTCGCAACCAGCCGCACACGTCATCTGAATTTTTCCATCCGCGAATTTTCTCTTGACGGCATTCGAGGGAAGGGGGGGGGGGGACTTACAAAATCATCTACAAGTTGCCACAAAAATATCTCGTTTCGCAACTTTTTCAATTCAAAGACTTACGGTATTCTGTTCTTTGATCTGAGACAAGGAAGCGAGAAAAAAACTGGTAACTTTGATCGATACTTGTTACATCAGATAATGATGTGGGTTTCCATTAAGATAGACAAATGTTTAATGTGGATGCAGGGATCATACATTATTCTAAAAAAGTAACAAACCCTACGTTACCAGTTAAAAACTGCGGGAAAAAATCTTCATTAGTTGGACACAGCTGAATGTGGAGAAGCAAGGTAACAAAACCACACCCTTCTTCACTGTCTCTTGCCAGGGGCGTAACTAGGCCAATAAATTTAGGGAATGAAGAAGGGTTTTGCTCTGCAAAACTGAGTGGTGTCCCACATACCTCGAAGCAAAGATTCGTCTATAGGTTGCTAGTGAAAGCTTTACCAATGTATATTTGTCTTTACCAAGGATAAATTTCTAAGGAGAACAAATTTGAAACTTAATTGCCTATGAATTATCTATTTATTTACGTTAGCGTAAATTAAATTCCAAATTTTATTTTGCTTTGTGATAAAGCTTACATCTTACAGCATGTGTTTTTCAGCTACATGACGGGGACGGCGCCACGAAATTGATGCTTGGAAGGCTAAGAATCAAGTTTAGTGACAAAGGAGAATTTTTTTGAAACGATGCCTTGTAGAAGGGCTAAAAAAAGTATCTACCAGACTAAAAGATAACATAATTCTATACTGCTTAGACAATTCAACGGATAGACAGCAACGAGTATTGTTTTTGGGAAAAATTTGGGAAGGGGAGATATCATGCTGAATTTCTAGTGACAGACGTTGGGGAAAGAAAGAAAGGATGGCCTTACAAAGATACAGAAAGCTATTTTCTGAATTAATCCAAATGATAGACAAATAATAGAAATATACGTAAAAAAGTTAGTAAATAAATCAAACAAAATCGATCGGTATACCAACCTCTCTTTTTATTTCATGCACTGTTTTTAAAAGTAATTTCACAAAAAAATATTTTGGGGCGGGGTCTTATTTGAGGAGGGCTTATTCGATGGTGGGAGCTTACTCAAGAAATTACGGTATGCGAAGTATTCGAATGCAGGATAAATGATCGACTGGATATCACTAAGTGGCGGAGAAACTGTTAAATCATTTGAAGCCCTGCAAAACTATATAAGGTGATTCATTGCATATTGCATAAATGAAAATATAGTTCTCCCATCAGGTGATCTGCAAAAAATATGTAGAGAAACTATTGAGCCACAATTCAGTTATTGTTGCTTTGTTTGGGGATTTTGTAGTGAAACCAAAATTAATTCTCCCCAAAGATCCAAAATAAAGTTGCAATCTTTGCTTTACCGAAACAAATTGCAGATACCTCTGTTTTTCAGATTGCCCTTGCCAAAAAGTATGTTCTTATCGTTGATCAAAATTACGAAATGAGCTGAAAAATAGACTAAATTTGCACCGTCCCTGGCTACATTTGCAAATCCATATCAGAGTTAGATTTTAATCTCAGTTTTGTACATTGCAATACCATTTAATTTAGGCCTTTCTGTTTTTTGCACAGATCGAATTGTAAAACAGCTTTTTGTTACTGAAACCCTTGTAACCTGTGTAGATATTTAAAAAATTAGATAGATTTAGAAACTATCCTATTGAATTTTTTTTGGCATCGGGGGATCCGTAGATTTTAGCTGAGATCATCTTTAGTTCTACGACTTTTATTCATTCAACCTAAACATGAGCGAGGACAATGAAAACATTGGATTCATATTCGAAGCAAGTTCAATCTCCTTTTTATTTCAGCAACAGTAACTTTACGATGGTATGTTTGGAAAATTAGGACTCTACAATTATTGCTAACTGGGCGCAAATTATGATTTTTGAATAAATAAGTTGCCTAGAACATTGATAATAATGGTTAGGTAATAACGAAGTTACACTACATAGCATAACTCATTGACATTAGTTGTAATTTTAACTACTTCAACTAAGTACTTTCTTATCCGATGGATATGTCGGATTTATGGCACGTCTCGTGAATATCCGAAGCATATTCTTTTAGTGCAACAGAATCTTTAAATTTCGTGAAAATAGATCTTTAAACTGACACACTAGCCGATAAGAAATTATCTTGTTTTGCAGGGGTGTTTCGATATTTTATTGTAAGTATAAAAAATTATTCCTGTACCATGTAAATCTGCAAACCTGCCTCGGTTATTCTGAAGATTCTTAGTGTTAAAGGCTACTGAGAGGTCAATTCAAATACACTAGTGTGCTGCGTTATAAATGTACAGGGTTTTACATGCTTAGACGACTAAGACGTTTAGATGTAATATGCAAGGGTAAGAGAAGAGAAGAGAAGAGAAGAGAAGAGAAGAGAAGAGAAGGTGTGCCAGACCAAATATTGTGTGAACATATGCCAGACCAAAAGCAGGCTGCTCGACAAAGTCTGATAGAATTCTTGCGACGAAAAATCGATTCACATCCATTCCACATCCACCAATCTGACACCACCATCGCCTATTTTAAATTTGTGGACTTTGTAGTCCGTTTACTTTTGCTCTGATGAAGCCCCGTATGTCGGTGCGAAATATTAGCCACTAATGATTTAATTGTGTTTGTTGTTATTTATTCTCGGCGCTTTGCGGTGTTACTTATTTACTACACTATTCCTAGTGTTTAATGAGCGGGATTGAATTAAACTGCTTCATAAATGGGTAAACGTGACGCGCATCGGTACATCTACCCTGGGTACCAGACTCACTATATGTAAAATAAAATATAGAGTCTCTATTTTATTTTATATATAGTGAGTCTGGTACCCAGGATACGGTACATCGGTACTGGTATTAGGGTCATTTAGTTTTAGCATAATAATTTCTGGCTGGGAAAGCCACACTTTTACATCATGCCATGTGTATTTTACAGTAAGCTCATTGATTCCATCGGGTTCTTTGCTAGGCATACAAGAATAATCGTCTTAGAGGTTATAGGAAAAAATTGCACCACGTCGGCTGATTTTAATAAGACTTTACGATTATACGCATATGACTAGAAATATTCTTGGTGATCGGTAGATAAAATTAAAAATTAAATGACTCAAAAAATTAATTAATAACGTGAATAAGCACATTTTTTAAATTGTTACCCCAATTTTTTTAAAAAAGGCAGTACTCGTCGCATTCGTTGTTGAAGCAACACAAATAGGGAAAGAAAGAAAGCTTAGATAAGATCAATGTACTTGTTTTAGAAATTGATACATCTTTATATGAAAGAGATAATTGGGGTGACAACGTAGAATAGATATATTTATTCTAGAATAGTTTATTTCTTGACAGATGGGTATGATGATAAAGTCTTATTAAAGTCCAGAAAATATTCTTGCAAGCTACCGAAAATCCGCACATCTTGGAGAGAAGAGAATGCCACTTTTAAAACTTTATGAAAAATTAAAGAGAATAATGGTCTTATGCAGTTCTAAAATTATTTATCATGCAAAGCCAGTTAGAACTTGTCAGCAAAGCCCACTTGATTTGCAGTTTTTAAGAAAAAGGTAAAGAGTCTGTCGTTTGGCATTAAATTATTAATATCCCTGGCTGATATTCCTTTATGCAAAACCAACCAGACTTTCTGTCAATCACTTCCTTTAAGTAACAGTTAAAAGTTACCATTTAACCTCGTAATGAATATCTCCCTCTAATGGACATCTCCCTGTAAAAAGTGCACCATCAAGCGCATCAAGATTTAACCAATACCGGAAACATGTCAGCTCTGTAATATGTTTTCACTTTTATTTGAACTCCAACCAGGCAACAATTTTTAACGAACCAAGCCATATTAAAAGCATTTGACATGCATAAGTACAGCAAATCCAAAATTTCGCTGATTTGCAGAAGGCGGAAGCTGTTCGCATGATTTTCTCTAGGCGCAATTTGGTTGGTCAACCTCTGGTGGTCAAGTGACTCTAAGACACTTATAATCTAAGACTTTTTACGAAATTTACTAATCGCCACACTGCACAAAGTTGCTCCTCTAAGAATTCGAAAAATCTATTATTTTTCAAAGCACGCGTGAGTTGCAGAACGTAAAAGTTATTTCTTTAGAGCAAATGTTTAGATTTGGAAAAGTTATAGATGGAGCTCTAAGTTCAGGCAGCAAAATACGTATGTTAAGTGCAAAAGAACTTTTAATGCAGTGGAGAGGAAGCAAAGACTGAGATACAAATTTTTGTTTGGGGGTGAGCCCTGATAAATAAGTGTAACAACAGCCATATTTTACAAAATAAGAGTATTTTACTTATGCAAATTAACTATCTCACTTCTTGAAAGGAAGGCACACGTGGGGTTGGGTTGGGTTGATTACTGTTATACATTGTCTGTGTAAAATCTTCAGGAATTTGCAGAAAATATTTAAAAAGTCAAACTTTGTTTCGTTCAATTTATCAACAGCCAAGGGTGCAGGCTTTTTAAACCTGGATTTACTGAATGAAATCCAGCGCCATTTGTTCTAATTTCTGAAAAGAAAGTCGAAATAACGCTACCAGATAACCAAATAATGAAGTATACAAGAAGAAATGATTGGTAAAGGAGTTTTTTTACAAATTACACTGCATTATTTTGAATTGACTTTGATGCGTTACATTCATTTTTTTACAAGAAACTGGCTATAAGAAACAAGTAATGGACAGTCAGAAAAAATTAAGAAACTTCAGTACTCGAAGCAAAAAAATTAAGAAACTATTAAATCGTGATAAAACTGAGAACAACGAAATTTTATAAAACCCAAGAACACGATTGCCCTGATGGCCTAGAAATTAAGGCACAAGGGATAAAAGTATACTTCCCACGTCTAAATACAGCTCCAAAACGGAAGCGAATCTCTTGACGTGAAAAAAGGTCACGAACATTTCATAACATCATTCATGACATCAAGATTAAGAAACTCTTAAGAGGCAGCGAGTATTGAAATTTCCAGAACATTAAGAAACTGGAGTACTCAACATCGACCTTTGTTTGTGAAGTAAAAAGGGAATATGGTGTGCCATCTGTTTTGTTTGACGCACAAGTCAATTATTTTTTAAAGGATGCCCAACATTTTCTAATACACGTACCTTGGGTACCAGAGCCTCAAGAAACTGGGGATAAAATATTGTAGACCGCTGCGATGGTAACGCAAATAGATATATCTGTTTCTTGCTTCGAATATTTCTAAATAATAAAGGCTCTGGCACCCAGGGTATAGAGAACAAAAAACAGCACCCTGATCTTCGGTAGAATAAATTCACTTCCTGCTGTGCTATAGTGGCTATACTGTGTTTCAGGAAGGAAATCGAAAACGAGACGAAGACAACAGGCTAGTAGTTGACAGTGATATTTGACTGGTAAAACGGACAAACTTCAGAAAGAATGTCTAAAAGGAGATGATGCAGGTTTCCCAAACTGATTGAATTACCGGGCGTAGTTTGGTAGTGAAGTCAAGACCTCAGTCTGTTATTGCTCATGACAAAAGCAAGTGACTTGTGTTAATGAGACACATTATCTCCATCGTCACTTTTGTGAAAACGGCCTATAAGACAGGCCACATTAGTTTCAAACACGCCTACTGAAAATTCAAAATATAGCGCAGGCAAGTAGCTCTGTCTTTTCGTCGCACATCGTGTGTGGTGATGTAGCTGATGAAATTGAAGAGACAAAAGTCAATGGCATAGGCTATTGCTCAGAACAACAAGGTTTCCACGACGTCCTCAGTTTCCACACAAAAAAGCCTGGGGAAAGTAGGATGGAATTTGCTGAGCTAATCAAGACAACTAGGGTTGATAATGTTATTTTAAGAAGGCAAAGTAGCAGCCTTGTCGAGGGGACATTGTGCCTTACAAGTCATCATTTGATATTTTCATCAAGGGTTTCGGAGAAAGATGAATTAATGGTAAATATGAATTGTAATGCTTCTACTACCATAAATATGAATTGTATAGTCATCAAAATCCAAGCAAAAACCCAAATGCAGAAACATTAACATGTAAATAAGTGAGATCTCAATATATTGCAAGTTTATAGTTATTTCAGTCTAAATAATTTTTCAGGATTTAGGGGGTCTCCTTGAGATTTTTTAAAGAATACTAATCTAATATTATTTTACTGATGACCATAGACGTACAGGGTGAGTTCAGATAGGGGGGCTGAAATTTTTTGCCCCAAAAATAACGGTGCCCAAATTTTTTAAGGAGCCTTTTAAAAACTTCACACAGTTTCATTAAAAAAGCAAATCTCTTACCTGACAGCAACCAAATATATCAATTATTTTACTGATTTTGTGAACATGATTTTCACCATATTCAATTACTGCCAAAAGCGCTCACCATTACGACCGCTTGATTTTTTCATCTCAGAATTTTTAAACATGTTCGAAATGTAGTTTTTCTTATACCTTCTTGTTTTTAGGGAAGGCTCTTGCCAGAACTTTGCTTGAAAAAATCAGCTGCCCAAATCTAGAGGGGCTGAAGCCCCCCAAGCCTCCCATCTTGTACGCCTTTGCTGATGGCACCTGTTAACTTTTATCTCTAGAAGGATAATTGTTAACTTACTTTTATCACTAACCCTTCACTTTCTGTTTGGTTCAATAACAACCCATTTCCATTTTGAATGTTTTTTAAACCTTAACTATTGGATTTTCACCTGCTTTAAATGAACCAACAAAGTTGAGACAATGTTCATCAAAATTTTTGCATGTTGATGTTTTAAAAATAAAGCAAAAAACATGATACTACTGCATAATACCCTTCTTAAAAATGAATTTACAATTTGTCCATGAATGAAGTTTTTTAAAATTGTTTGCATCTGTCTAAAAGTAGTGTCAAAAACTAGTGATCCAGCTATCTAATGCATTTCAATAGCTATTCTGACGTTTTTATTGTCAAGACAATCAGTCAGAAGTACTTTGGTTCTGTTAAATAGCAAGGTATTCATTTTAGCTCTTGTACATGGCAATCGAAGATGTTCAGAAGAAGATTGCAGGGTACAATGGAACTATAAATATCATTTGTAAAGACTTCACTTCTTTCAAACTGCGAATACCAGGTGCTGAGAATTGTCTCAATGTTGCTGCTTCCATTGAAGCACTATCCACTTTAGGTAAATGCAATACTTTATGATCTTCTTTGCTGCTATTTTCTTTGCCTATAGGTAACATCCTGGGTGCTATGGTTTTGCATATTGGCCATGCAAATTTCCTAGTTAATAACATTTACGTGTGCACTATTTCAGATGGGAAATCTCAAATTTTCAAAGCGAACTTATCTTTGCAAATAATTTAATTTTCAGTTTGGTATTTGAATGCTTCCACTTTGCATAATTGGCAATTTTTATTTTATAAATTGTTTTTTCAATTCCATATTTATTATTTGCTTTGTCAAGGTATCACCTCTCCCAATGTAGTGACTAGATAGTCAGGTCAAACGATTAGATATCAACAAGGCAATTGAAGTTAATTTTATATTATTTGAGCTTTGCAATAGTCTATGGGTGGAAGAAAAAAGATTTAAAGGACTTAAGTCTTTCTCTTGGAGTGATTGTACTTTGAACTCTGACATTAAAAGTCTTAATACAAGAGAAGTTCAGGACAAAGCAATATGATAAAAAGAATCCAATGTAATGAGATTAATTTGCCATAAGAAATTCAGAAACAAAAGCCGAATTCTCATAAAAATCTGAAGAATATTTTGTTACTGAAGCAAAAAAGAGACTTTTAGTTTGATTCATAAAGAGAAGAACCTATATTTTAATTCCAATTTACATTTTATGGTATTTAAACTATTTTAATCTCTAATTTTACATTGTGTAGTATTTAATGACCAGATGAAGAGCCACCCTGTGGAGATACTGGTCATGATTTATTATCATTATCATTAATATTATTATTATTATTATTAATTTTCAAAATAAATTTAGTGAAAAGAATACTAATATTTCACCCAGGCATACAGGGCTTCATCAGAGTAATTAAAAGACTTGTGGCATCAAAAGTCAATTTCTTTCCATCACATACAAAACTTTTTATATCATTCAATTTTTTTTATGAAAGTATAAATTTTTTGTAGAGAATCAGACCTGGTACTACCCCTTCTTTCATCGGCTGGATTTCATCATCACTGAAAATGGTTGGGATGCATTCAGTCCTGAAGTAGAGCTGAAAAACTTAATTGATGGCAGCGATAGCTGGAGGATCTGTTCTCTAAACAATGAATTCAAAGTAAGGCCTTTCCCATGCAAATATTAAGCCATGCTTTATAAGCTACTGCTTGATTCCAATTTTTCGTGTTCTTATTCATCTCAGTTTCTTTTGCATATGATCATATGATAGTTCTTCATTAAATTAATTCTATATGTTTACAATCTACTGCTTCTATCACAAATGTTTTTTATTGATTTGTAATGTCATATTTTTTCAAATATTTTCATGACATGTCAAATATTTTATATCCTATCTTTTTTACCTGCTGCTTGTTGTGAAGTTCCAGAAGAGATGTTGTAATAAGGCTGTTAAGGGCTTGGGGCAGAGTAACCTAGCCTAAAATAGTCATTGACATTAGTTGTAATTTTAACTACTTCAACTAAGTACTTTCTTATCCGATGGATATGTCGGATTTATGGCACGTCTCGTGAATATCCGAAGCATATTCTTTTAGTGCAACAGAATCTTTAAATTTCGTGAAAATAGATCTTTAAACTGACACACTAGCCGATAAGAAATTATCTTGTTTTGCAGGGGTGTTTCGATATTTTATTGTAAGTATAAAAAATTATTCCTGTACCATGTAAATCTGCAAACCTGCCTCGGTTATTCTGAAGATTCTTAGTGTTAAAGGCTACTGAGAGGTCAATTCAAATACACTAGTGTGCTGCGTTATAAATGTACAGGGTTTTACATGCTTAGACGACTAAGACGTTTAGATGTAATATGCAAGGGTAAGAGAAGAGAAGAGAAGAGAAGAGAAGAGAAGAGAAGGTGTGCCAGACCAAATATTGTGTGAACATATGCCAGACCAAAAGCAGGCTGCTCGACAAAGTCTGATAGAATTCTTGCGACGAAAAATCGATTCACATCCATTCCACATCCACCAATCTGACACCACCATCGCCTATTTTAAATTTGTGGACTTTGTAGTCCGTTTACTTTTGCTCTGATGAAGCCCCGTATGTCGGTGCGAAATATTAGCCACTAATGATTTAATTGTGTTTGTTGTTATTTATTCTCGGCGCTTTGCGGTGTTACTTATTTACTACACTATTCCTAGTGTTTAATGAGCGGGATTGAATTAAACTGCTTCATAAATGGGTAAACGTGACGCGCATCGGTACATCTACCCTGGGTACCAGACTCACTATATGTAAAATAAAATATAGAGTCTCTATTTTATTTTATATATAGTGAGTCTGGTACCCAGGATACGGTACATCGGTACTGGTATTAGGGTCATTTAGTTTTAGCATAATAATTTCTGGCTGGGAAAGCCACACTTTTACATCATGCCATGTGTATTTTACAGTAAGCTCATTGATTCCATCGGGTTCTTTGCTAGGCATACAAGAATAATCGTCTTAGAGGTTATAGGAAAAAATTGCACCACGTCGGCTGATTTTAATAAGACTTTACGATTATACGCATATGACTAGAAATATTCTTGGTGATCGGTAGATAAAATTAAAAATTAAATGACTCAAAAAATTAATTAATAACGTGAATAAGCACATTTTTTAAATTGTTACCCCAATTTTTTTAAAAAAGGCAGTACTCGTCGCATTCGTTGTTGAAGCAACACAAATAGGGAAAGAAAGAAAGCTTAGATAAGATCAATGTACTTGTTTTAGAAATTGATACATCTTTATATGAAAGAGATAATTGGGGTGACAACGTAGAATAGATATATTTATTCTAGAATAGTTTATTTCTTGACAGATGGGTATGATGATAAAGTCTTATTAAAGTCCAGAAAATATTCTTGCAAGCTACCGAAAATCCGCACATCTTGGAGAGAAGAGAATGCCACTTTTAAAACTTTATGAAAAATTAAAGAGAATAATGGTCTTATGCAGTTCTAAAATTATTTATCATGCAAAGCCAGTTAGAACTTGTCAGCAAAGCCCACTTGATTTGCAGTTTTTAAGAAAAAGGTAAAGAGTCTGTCGTTTGGCATTAAATTATTAATATCCCTGGCTGATATTCCTTTATGCAAAACCAACCAGACTTTCTGTCAATCACTTCCTTTAAGTAACAGTTAAAAGTTACCATTTAACCTCGTAATGAATATCTCCCTCTAATGGACATCTCCCTGTAAAAAGTGCACCATCAAGCGCATCAAGATTTAACCAATACCGGAAACATGTCAGCTCTGTAATATGTTTTCACTTTTATTTGAACTCCAACCAGGCAACAATTTTTAACGAACCAAGCCATATTAAAAGCATTTGACATGCATAAGTACAGCAAATCCAAAATTTCGCTGATTTGCAGAAGGCGGAAGCTGTTCGCATGATTTTCTCTAGGCGCAATTTGGTTGGTCAACCTCTGGTGGTCAAGTGACTCTAAGACACTTATAATCTAAGACTTTTTACGAAATTTACTAATCGCCACACTGCACAAAGTTGCTCCTCTAAGAATTCGAAAAATCTATTATTTTTCAAAGCACGCGTGAGTTGCAGAACGTAAAAGTTATTTCTTTAGAGCAAATGTTTAGATTTGGAAAAGTTATAGATGGAGCTCTAAGTTCAGGCAGCAAAATACGTATGTTAAGTGCAAAAGAACTTTTAATGCAGTGGAGAGGAAGCAAAGACTGAGATACAAATTTTTGTTTGGGGGTGAGCCCTGATAAATAAGTGTAACAACAGCCATATTTTACAAAATAAGAGTATTTTACTTATGCAAATTAACTATCTCACTTCTTGAAAGGAAGGCACACGTGGGGTTGGGTTGGGTTGATTACTGTTATACATTGTCTGTGTAAAATCTTCAGGAATTTGCAGAAAATATTTAAAAAGTCAAACTTTGTTTCGTTCAATTTATCAACAGCCAAGGGTGCAGGCTTTTTAAACCTGGATTTACTGAATGAAATCCAGCGCCATTTGTTCTAATTTCTGAAAAGAAAGTCGAAATAACGCTACCAGATAACCAAATAATGAAGTATACAAGAAGAAATGATTGGTAAAGGAGTTTTTTTACAAATTACACTGCATTATTTTGAATTGACTTTGATGCGTTACATTCATTTTTTTACAAGAAACTGGCTATAAGAAACAAGTAATGGACAGTCAGAAAAAATTAAGAAACTTCAGTACTCGAAGCAAAAAAATTAAGAAACTATTAAATCGTGATAAAACTGAGAACAACGAAATTTTATAAAACCCAAGAACACGATTGCCCTGATGGCCTAGAAATTAAGGCACAAGGGATAAAAGTATACTTCCCACGTCTAAATACAGCTCCAAAACGGAAGCGAATCTCTTGACGTGAAAAAAGGTCACGAACATTTCATAACATCATTCATGACATCAAGATTAAGAAACTCTTAAGAGGCAGCGAGTATTGAAATTTCCAGAACATTAAGAAACTGGAGTACTCAACATCGACCTTTGTTTGTGAAGTAAAAAGGGAATATGGTGTGCCATCTGTTTTGTTTGACGCACAAGTCAATTATTTTTTAAAGGATGCCCAACATTTTCTAATACACGTACCTTGGGTACCAGAGCCTCAAGAAACTGGGGATAAAATATTGTAGACCGCTGCGATGGTAACGCAAATAGATATATCTGTTTCTTGCTTCGAATATTTCTAAATAATAAAGGCTCTGGCACCCAGGGTATAGAGAACAAAAAACAGCACCCTGATCTTCGGTAGAATAAATTCACTTCCTGCTGTGCTATAGTGGCTATACTGTGTTTCAGGAAGGAAATCGAAAACGAGACGAAGACAACAGGCTAGTAGTTGACAGTGATATTTGACTGGTAAAACGGACAAACTTCAGAAAGAATGTCTAAAAGGAGATGATGCAGGTTTCCCAAACTGATTGAATTACCGGGCGTAGTTTGGTAGTGAAGTCAAGACCTCAGTCTGTTATTGCTCATGACAAAAGCAAGTGACTTGTGTTAATGAGACACATTATCTCCATCGTCACTTTTGTGAAAACGGCCTATAAGACAGGCCACATTAGTTTCAAACACGCCTACTGAAAATTCAAAATATAGCGCAGGCAAGTAGCTCTGTCTTTTCGTCGCACATCGTGTGTGGTGATGTAGCTGATGAAATTGAAGAGACAAAAGTCAATGGCATAGGCTATTGCTCAGAACAACAAGGTTTCCACGACGTCCTCAGTTTCCACACAAAAAAGCCTGGGGAAAGTAGGATGGAATTTGCTGAGCTAATCAAGACAACTAGGGTTGATAATGTTATTTTAAGAAGGCAAAGTAGCAGCCTTGTCGAGGGGACATTGTGCCTTACAAGTCATCATTTGATATTTTCATCAAGGGTTTCGGAGAAAGATGAATTAATGGTAAATATGAATTGTAATGCTTCTACTACCATAAATATGAATTGTATAGTCATCAAAATCCAAGCAAAAACCCAAATGCAGAAACATTAACATGTAAATAAGTGAGATCTCAATATATTGCAAGTTTATAGTTATTTCAGTCTAAATAATTTTTCAGGATTTAGGGGGTCTCCTTGAGATTTTTTAAAGAATACTAATCTAATATTATTTTACTGATGACCATAGACGTACAGGGTGAGTTCAGATAGGGGGGCTGAAATTTTTTGCCCCAAAAATAACGGTGCCCAAATTTTTTAAGGAGCCTTTTAAAAACTTCACACAGTTTCATTAAAAAAGCAAATCTCTTACCTGACAGCAACCAAATATATCAATTATTTTACTGATTTTGTGAACATGATTTTCACCATATTCAATTACTGCCAAAAGCGCTCACCATTACGACCGCTTGATTTTTTCATCTCAGAATTTTTAAACATGTTCGAAATGTAGTTTTTCTTATACCTTCTTGTTTTTAGGGAAGGCTCTTGCCAGAACTTTGCTTGAAAAAATCAGCTGCCCAAATCTAGAGGGGCTGAAGCCCCCCAAGCCTCCCATCTTGTACGCCTTTGCTGATGGCACCTGTTAACTTTTATCTCTAGAAGGATAATTGTTAACTTACTTTTATCACTAACCCTTCACTTTCTGTTTGGTTCAATAACAACCCATTTCCATTTTGAATGTTTTTTAAACCTTAACTATTGGATTTTCA